TACTATTTTCTCAATTTACTATTTGAATATGAGGGGTTCCTTCCCTTTTTTCTGTAAGTGTCAACTAGTAAAGGATTAAATTTGCACAACCTTGGATGAACTTGACTCAGAAAATAGACTCTGTGTACCTTTCAATTTCATAAGGTAACAAATTGATGGTTGTGAAATGCAATTTTCAAATTAGACAAAGGGTTACATTAATAAATCATATTGAATTTATTCAGCAGTTGAACAAAGATCAGCTTGATTATAGCAATTTACTAAAATTCTTAACCAAAAAGCCAAGATCAGACTGCAACATTTAATAAAGTCCTATTAGCTCTTATCAGAATCCCCAAAAATCAATATTTTATATAAATATAAGCACAACAAAAATCTGTGATTAAGACACATACCGGAATGCATACATACAGCCTTTACCCATAAGAGTAATAATTGAATGTTGACATTTTCAAACAGCCATAATGAATTTTATCCTAAATTGATAGTGAATGACTGAGTTATATTCATTTATACATTGTTTTGACATATGTGAAATAAGTATAATTATATACCTTTATGAAGGGACTATATATATATTGTTGGTAGCGGAACTCATTTATAAATAGTAATTCCAAAACTCAATTATATTCGTTACAATGGTTTGACAACAGAACTTTGGGGTAGATCGATAGAAGTTTACAGTTTATAGATTGTCAATATAAGTTTTGTTAAACTAATTTATTGATCTGGTCATCAAGCATTAATGATGCCTCATTAAATTTAATATCTTTCCTAATCTGACCCTAGCAAAGTAGCTGCAAACGATTTAATTGTTCCTTTGATTGTTTTCTTGGTCAATTGAAATGAATAACCACAAATATTTTATTAATCATACAATCAGCCGACCATTGTACAATTAAAGTATCCTGTTATCTCTTGCTTCTTCTAGAGATTTTTTTATATTCGTATAAACCAATTTTTGTGGATTGAGGGAACAAGATTTTTCATGGATATTTAATTTCGTGGTTTTGCAAAAGTCTTCATACAATGTGGAGAAAATTTATACATCTTTGAACTTTTGAATTTGTAGTAAACCTTGACCCACAGAATCCTTGCAAATTAGCATCCCTCCAATACTAGTGAATCTACAGTATGTGAAATATCGAGATTGGGTATGATTGCCAATGGGACAACTATCCAGGGTCCAAAAGATATGTATATCAGTAACTATAGATCACTGTACTGAGACTTCTTTGTAGGTTGAATAGTAATGTTAAAATTACTGTTTATGCAACAGCTTATTACCGTCCTTTTCTTCAGGTCCACCTTCAAACCATGTCTTTTTCTATGAAAATCAAAGACAGAAATAGAAAATAAAAAGAAAGATAAGCATCAAGGTTTAGTTGCATGATAATAACAATATACATGTTAGTACAAAATGTATGTAGTTGCCACGAAAAACAAAATTCCTGCCGCACTTGGCTAGAACACAACCAATTTTACCGATTGGTCAGTAGGATAAATGATACTACTGCAATTGATATTGAACATTTCTCTGAATGGTAAACAGCAACAATCGTGTCACATGTCATGTTTATCCCGTTTATGACAACCACACATACATGTAGTTAAATTCCACAATTCTATATATGAAGATCTACATGTAAGGAAGTCTTTCCTGGGGGCAATTTTGTTGACAAATATTGTCCAGGTCAAAACAAGATGTCCTTTCCTGTATACAGAGAAACAGTGATTTAATGGACAATTAGTTACCTGCTATCAGGGTGATAATCAGGGCTATTGCAGGGTGATAATTGATTTATCAGACTACTAATGGATGGTGTGATAAGGTGTCTAGTCAGTGTTTGGATTCATCAAGCATGTAATTGAAATGGGAAAAGTAGAATATGTCACAACATCCAACTAATTTGGTGGCCTGTTAAGAGTTATATGTAGTGAATGATTTATAAACTTAATTAAGGACAAAAATGCACAAGTAAGTTAATTAGGATGTATGAGTTGTTCTTGGACAAGTATAATATTTGAAAAGTTTGGGATAAGTAAGGAGTAAGTTAACACTTCTCTGTATGTACAAAGAATGTTTTAGTATTGTGTTAATTTTAAGTTTTCATTGATGTGTATTGAATTGATGGTTTATTGTCCAGTGATCTGTATTTCATACTTATATTTATGATTAACACAAATAAAATAATAATTCAATTAGGTATTTGTAGAATCTAAAAAGTAATTAGACTAGAATAATTAGCAGGAGATTTCTAGGTTCAGTTTAAAATACCATTTGAGATCATTGGATGTATGACGTCCAGTGGCAAATATTACACATAATCATAGGATGATAACATGGTAATGACATACTTTATATTAGACTAACAAATGTAGCTCACACTTAGCAATATTCCCATGGAAGAAGTGTTACCCTTCATGGACATGCCCTTTGACTAAGTGCCAAAACGTCTTTGCTCAAATTCCTCTATGCTTTTATATTATTGGATAGATAGCAAATACATTTGAAAGTCTTTGGTTTGACTTGGTCTTAAAGGAACCTGTGTAGAACATTGTGATCAATGAAGGCAGTTGAAAAATTGTTGAATTGTAAGTTCTGACACTGTTGATACAAACAATTGTATATTCAAAGAGCTGTATGATCGTTATTTTAACATTCTTGGGTCATTTAAGCAAGAAACAGGACAAAAAGCTAATTATAAAGTATGAACTATTGAGTTGACAAAATGATGGTAATTTGAAAAATGTGAAAAAATAATTATACAAGTATTTAAATTGACAATTTGTCGTATTATTTCATTGAACTATACCATTTGGTCTACTAATAAAAACATTATTGCTGAACTCAAATTCTCAGGACAAAAGTACAAAATAGATTTTTATCTTGTCTTCATTGTTAAATGGTTGAATAGGAAGACTGATTTTGTGATTAAATTCCTGTGGGTTTTGTTCTTGTATTTAAAGGGTTACAATCTGTATGTTTGTAAGGGAGTACTTATAGTAACAATGTCAGGTTCCATGTCCTAAGTAAAACAATAATGATAAATAATTGTACTGAAGAAAGGTTTTCTAATATATGTATGTAGTTCATTAGTGGCACTGCTATTTTCAATTTAGAAATGAATAATATTTACCTCATATTTTTCATGACATCAAAGGTTTGGACAACTTTTGCTGTGTTATAGGTTATTATGCTTTCCAGAAGCTTTGACATATTAAGTTGCATAGTATGTCAACATGAATTGTTCATAGCTTTGAATGAGGGAGCTGTGTGGTTTATATGAGGATGAACCCAAGGACACAAAAACCTATAGTGATATTATAGGTCAACGTGTCTATCATGCAATTTGTCAAGATCTAAAAATTTGTGAATGAATTTAACAGATATAATCGAAGATCTGCCATCCACACCGAAATTCACTAAAGACAGGGAAAAAATATGATCCAAAAGATATCCACTGAGAAGGTGTTTTCATTGACATACAAATTTAAAGGTGATAGGAATCTTGACTTGCGGTATGGGTTTTGCTCATTGTTTAAGGGCATACCGTGACCTGTTATTGTTCACATCTTTGTAGTAAACAGTCTTGATTTATATAGATAGTTATCTCATTGTCAATCATACCACATCTCCTTAGCTTTATATTCTGTTAATTATTATTAGTTGTGACTTTCTGGGAAGCTAATATACCTAGAGTTCCTTAGATAATAGTATGGTAAAAGTTCTCTTTCCGAAAGGTTTATAGTTATTAGCTTGACTTGATAGACCATTATAGAATATCTGCCTCACAATGACCTTAGATATGTTCAATGTATCATTGAGACAGTCTGTCCTGACCTTTCCTTCACCATGACTGATTTATACCGAAAATGATCTGACACCTCATTGCTATTTAATAAAAACATACATTGGACCCAGGGAAGTCACAAACAAATCTAAACTACGGGTTGATGTCAAATTTTGTTTTGTACAGTAATATTTTAGAATTACCTCAATTGGCTGCCTCATTTTCAAAATTTCAAAAATTTCAGTGCCTACGAGCAATTGGGTGCCACTTAAGTTGAATAGGAGCTAATATACCTTTCAAGGTTCATAAGTTAATAGCCCGCTGTTTTATATGCAGTTCCTGTTGCTTGAAATTTAATTTCTTATGTAAAAATTTTAATATGTAGTATAACTTTTAGGTTGGTAACATACATAGACTTTCAATTTTGTATTATAACAATATATACTAGTCTGACCTTTTAAGATTAAATGTTAATGAAAACACACCTAGAAAACAATTTCATGTAAAACATAATGTAGAAATCTAGTGTTTTGACAGACAGACATAATATATGTCTGACAATTGAAATAAAGAAGAGGTGTATCAATTTACTTGAAATAGACTGTAAAAGTCACTCATATGTCTGAAATGTCATTTACTTTTTTTGTCTCTAATCCAAATAAACAATGTGACATAGGTATAAACTTTGAAGAAACAAGTACAATTTAATTCAGAAGTATGGGAATTCGTGTAGGTCTCTCGTTACAAACATTGTATTGAGAACGGATTATAAGGTTAGCAGATTAAATTAATAGAATTATAATTATTTTTACGAAATTGTTTTCCTAAGGTATTTACATTGTTGAAATAACTATCTAAAATTCTTCAAAGGTATCCGATATTTTTTGGGTTACAGGTAAGGCATGTAAATATTTAGAATTTTTTCATCTATTTTATCAAAATACAAAATGGTAATTAGAAATAAATTGCTAATTGAAGGTATATTATGGAGATACCAGTGTCAGAACATATTTTTCTTTCAATTAGAACACTTAGTTTGCAAAAAATAATGGCAAAACCTTTTTAATCTTACCAGTATACGTACCAGTATTTGTTTTTAAGGTAAGAGATTTTCAACACTACTTGTAAATATTTTATTGATATTTATAATTGGAATAGATTGTCATGGCAAACAATGTATAATATCATTTGTTTTTTTAATTTCAGTCATAATACTCAAATAACAACATTTGAACATCCTGTCACTCGTAAACCTTCTAACCATGCTTCAAATAAAACAAGGTAAGTTTTCTAAATCTTGTGACCGTAATACCAATACAATGTATACATATGAGCTATACTTCAAAGCCAGATGAAAGTCTTAAAATTGAGAATGGAAATGGGGAATGTGTCAAAGAGACAACAACCCGACCACAGAACAGACAACAGCAGAAGGCCACCAACAGGTCTTCAATGCAGCGAGAAATTCCCGCACCCGGAGGCGTCCTTCAGCTGGCCCCTAAACAAATATATATACTAGTTCAGTGATAATGAACGCCATACTAAACTCCAAATTGTACACAAGAAACTAAAATTAAAAATAATACAAGACTAACAAAGGCTAGAGGCTCCTGACCTGGGACAGGCGCAAAAATGCGGCGGGGTTAAACATGTTTATGAGATCTCAACCCTCCCCCTATACCTCTAGCCAATGTAGAAAAGTAAACGCATAACAATACGCACATTAAAATTCAGTTCAAGAGAAGTCCGAGTCTGATGTCAGAAGATGTAACCAAAGAAAATAAACAAAATGACAATAATACATAAATAACAACAGACTACTAGCAGTTAACTGACATGCCAGCTCCAGACTTCAATTAAACTGATTGAAAGATTATGTCTTCATCATATGAATATCAGGCACAATCCTTCCCGTTAGGGGTTTAGTATCATACCATCATAACATATATGAGAAGAACATAACCCGTGTCATGCCAACAACTGGTTTTTAAATAAATGTGTTTAGTGCCGATGCAAAGACCCTATAAGTGAATCAATATTAACGCCAAAATATGCAATCTTTAATGACCTGACAACAGTATCGTATCTATATCCCTTCTTAATAAGTCTATTTAAAGGTTTTGTTAGTTTCAGAGGTGAATACTGACATTTTTGTGCTTTATAAAGAATATTTCCATAAAAAAATTTTAGCCTGTCATCATCGCTTAGAAACAGTAATAGTGTATGGACTTGAAATAATGATGATATAAAGATAAGGCTTAGAAATGAGGGGAAATGCCAGGCATATTTTGACTACTCACATAGAATGATTGCACTCGCTAGTACAGAATCATCAAATACAACCTTTCTTAAAATATAACACAAAATAAACATGAATGCCATTTGTGTTCCAAATTCATAAGAAATATACCACATGTACTGCCCACTGTAAGTAATCGGATGTCAAAATCTTTATAATGCAAGTATTATGACATTCAATTTAATCAAGTCATACTCCCAATAGATGGTAAGTCTGTCAAACATACTGTGCCTAACAAAAAAGTCTTTTCGATCATAAGATGCTTATTATCAGTGGAGAAACATCAAGGGTCTACAATAAACATTGCTATGCATGTGCCATGCAAGCTCAGTTATCAAGTTTTCCAATCATATTCTTGAAATTGATGGTTCTCTTGCCAACAATGTGTGCTTAAAAGGAGAGGACAGTCAGACATGTTAGTCATAATAAAAAAGCTAATAAAAGTATCTACAAAAATAGTTGATTTATAGTATCATGCATCAATCCAAAACTGTCCATTTCTTTGACATAAAACTATATGTTTATTTTTCCTAAACCTAAAAAATTTTGAGTCTAAATTGCTTCGATTGATACTCTGACAATGAATTGTCTCATTTGTTTGGTGTTATGGTCTAGCCATTATTCATTCATTCATTTAAAAGTACATTGTATTTTATTCCCATAATTATACATTCACACTCTTGAACTGAATTTTAATGTGCGTATTGTTATGCGTTTACTTTTCTACATTGGCTAGAGGTATAGGGGGAGGGTTGAGATCTCATAAACATGTTTAACCCCGCCGCATTTTTGCGCCTGTCCCAAGTCAGGAGCCTCTAGCCTTTGTTAGTCTTGTATTATTTTTAATTTTAGTTTCTTGTGTACAATTTGGAGTTTAGTATGGCGTTCATTATCACTGAACTAGTATATATATTTGTTTAGGGGCCAGCTGAAGGACGCCTCCGGGTGCGGGAATTTCTCGCTGCATTGAAGACCTGTTGGTGACCTTCTGCTGTTGTCTGTTCTATGGTCGGGTTGTTGTCTCTTTGACACATTCCCCATTTCCATTCTCAATTTTATTCACAATTGAAATTCAGTATGACAACGCAGATATCCATTACTCTGAAGAAACTGACAATTGATGTTTAGTTTTAAAGCTTTAAACTCCTTAAGATACAGTTATAAGTTCACACTTTATTGATTGAAATGCATGGCGTATCACTTAAAGAATCCAGTATCGCTGGGAAACTTTCTCAAATAATCAAAAAGGGGTGTCACTATCCAGGTATCGGATTGCCAACATTTTGTATTGTATGTTCTTGTTCAAATATCATGTTTAGAAAATACCATAAAATGGCAACAAATAAAAACTTAACAAATGTGTATCAGTGGGAAATCACGCTCTGATGATTGATCTTTTATTAACGGTAAATAGCTGATAAAATGTGAACAAATAAAATGAAGGGGGACATTACTACTAGATAACAATGTATACCTATGTGTTCGATTTATTGAGGTTTATTCCTGTCCTGAAATGGAATTATTTTAAATTCAGACATGACTATGTTTATATTATGAAGTTGTTTTGAGAGTGTTATTTTTAGTTTTGTTTTAATTATTTTTTTGGAAAGTAATTATGATAGTGTTGTAAGAATGGTCTAAAATGGGATTTGATAATTTATTTGGAAGTTGCCTTTTGTGGTAAGCAAAAATATTCTGAATTAGTTCGTGTACAAAACATGTATGACACCATTGGGTTATTTGGTGCTAATGAAATTTCCATGTCTTCATTAGCTTACAAGTAATATTAAACATCGTTTTTCTAACCTTCACTTATCAAGATTCATTGAATTACTCTGTGTTTAAAAAGGTGATAAAGGAGTTGTTTGTTCTATTGTAGACACAATACCTTGGGAAGTGTTGTTTGTCAAACTTTATGCATTCATTTGCAGAGTCTTATCAGTATTATTAAGAAAAATGCATAATAACTTAAGAGGATTTGGGGACAGTTTGACCCCCTTACTCTCAACTATATTATTCAAGCCAACACAGATGTAGAATTTTACATTTGTTGATTTCAGTATTGCATTGGTTTAAATCGATATTTTGTTGACCTGGCCTTATCAGTCAAATCATTGTTCATAAAAATCTCCAGATATACAAGTACATACAGATGTTATAAAAAAAGTTTATTGCACGAACTTGACAGATGCAAAAACAAGAATTTGACATATAAATGTGACATACTGTTATATTACATCATACAGACTGTTATAGTGATGTTTTATCTATAGATTTTATCACCAATAGTGTCTACTCTGGTACTAATCAATCATGTATAAGCAATCTCATTCATAACTTGTCAAAATTATTATACACTTGATTAGGTTTAACTTCTCAAATAAATTCGAAAGTGTGTGTTTACTTTAGTTTAAATACACAAATTATATCAATCTGTGGTGAATTTTAAATTTTGTAGCGTCTCTTTTAAATAACCAAAGATGTAGATATTGAAGAAAAGTAAGAATTTGCAAATTAAAGTATTTCCAAATACATATATATTGAAATGAATAGTCAATCAGATTGATTCATTCCAACATTTGCATGTATTTGGTCAATCAGAATCTATCTGATTTGTTCTAGCAGTTTGTTTGATTGAAAGTGCAGCCTCTGAATAGACCACTTTCGAGTTTGTTGCAATTCTGTCAAAAACTTTGGTTTTAGTGAACATCATTAGTGCGTTTAGGGGCATCGTCACTTCCTTCCCATGTTGAGGGAGTGGTTGAAAAAAATGCTATATTGCACAAATTATTTGGCAAATTAAATTCTAATAATTGATTATCAACACTGCTGTCATTGGGGAATTGTGATTAAGTACCTACCGAACAACAATTATTTCTAGTTTATCCTGCATAATGACAATCACGAAGACGCTTGATGAACTTTAATAATGCAGGGATACATGTGGTCCACTTTATCTGGTAAATGACGTCATAAAGGCATGCATAATTGACGAACTATTCCGGTGCAGAACATAACCCGAAAGTGGTCTATAATTTAAATTTCAGCAGTAAAGTAGAAAAATGAGATGGCTAAATACTACACATTCATATAGCAATCTTTACTTTGCCAACTATTCTCTAATACCTAGCAAGGATTTAAGTTTAAATTATTCCCCACAAGTTTTATGCATATAAATCATATTTGTTAAAAGCAAATTCCACTTTTACTGGTACATGTACAACAGAGTACTGTCATTGTTTTGTTTGATAGGATTTTTTATAAAATACATACATTGTTGAATTAGATAACAAAAGTATTAATATTTACTTGATGAAAACATTTGATTGAAGTATGGTTTAAAAGATTTTGAATCAGCAGTTATGATAAACTAATTTTATTATTTTTTTTAACTTCAGTTCATCATCATCACCACCAAGAACACCAACGAGTCCCACATCACCACAAGTATGTATGAAAATTCAAGTTCATTTGTTTTTGAGAGACCTTCAATGAATCAATTCTATCTACATATTACTATAACTGTCCAATTATGTGTAAATCATTGGAAATTTGACTCAGAATCAATTTAGAAGTTTGGAACATATCCTGTTTTATTGTATGAATATTGATCTAGTAATGTTTCAAGGAATCATTAAACATTCATATATTAACTGACCATACATTATCCTTAACTGAGATCATTTTAATGTTGGATTCACTAGTTTACCTGTGAAATGAAAAAATAATTTAAGGGTTACATATTTATGATAGATAGGTATCTTGTTAATTGATGGTTGACGGCCCTGTGTACCCGGGGGATATGATTTTTAACTGTCCGTGACATTACTCATATTGGTATTTTTTCTAGGTTAGATGTTTTATAAGTTAATAATCTATCAGTGAATGTAGAAATGACTTAAAGAAAAGATTGAGAGGATCTTTTTTCGTGTTTTCAAAGATTCTTATCAAGGTTATTTGAAGAAGGACTGGAGATCCGAAATTTGTGATAAAAATTTTGTGGAGCTGGAAACATTGTGTACATTTCATTGATTAAAGATTTTTATATTCTAAATTTTAATGGAAATTACTACAAACTCTGTTTATGTGAAATTTCTTTAATGCTTATTTGTAAAACTGATATTTGGATTTTGTTTTGCAGTCAAACAGAAAAGTAGCAACACCAACAAAAGTCAAGTAAGAAAATAATTTACTTATGTATAATTTGTACAAGTGGTATAAATGATTTATTTAAAAAAAAGGGGGATTTCTTAGTTCCTATGTGAAGCAAGTTTTTTTTTTTTTTTTTGGGGGGGGGGACACTTCAATACTTAATTGATAGGGGTGCCACTGGGGTTCTGTTACCCCACCCTTTTCATATATTGCTTAGGTAAAAATGTAACCTTTTCCCATATTGGTTTGGTCATAATCGAGAAAATATCATCTTTGCTCGGAACTCAGATCTGAGGCTCATATTCCTTATGGAATGTTTACTTTTGGCTGTGAAAAAAATTACAAGGCTTTAAATATATAACAAGTAATGGGAATTTTATTAACCTTATCATATAATTCTGATAGATTTCCCCACCTATCACATATTTTCAAGCTTGAAAATGTGACCTATTCCAGCGGCACATCCTATCACCTTGTATATAGGAAGTGGAATAGCAAATGTGTACTATAATATAAATTTAGCTAAATTTACTACAAGGGGGCCGGGGGTGGGGTTAATGACCTTGACTACCCATGACATCTCACGATTGTTACTATAGTGTTTCAAACGTTAGGAATACATACTTCTAACTATTAGATACACCCATGAGCCTGGTTGCCTGAATTAGTGTATCTACTTACATGAAAATATAGATATGGTTAATGCAAAAGGATAGATTTCAACAATTTAGTATGGAGTCTTTCACAAATTTAAACTTATTCAATGATAAAGCATGATAAATGCAGGATATCCAATTACATTTAATGACATCTTGGTCTGAATAACTATATACAATGACATATATTGAATGTACAAAAAGATTTTTTTCAATCTCTTTTTATAGTTGAGTACTTTAATGTAGAGAAACATCATAGTTTGCATGCTATTAAACAGCTTACATAAATATGTTCATGGCGCTATTGGTCATTAAAACAGAGAAATTTATTATACATTTAACTATCTTAAATTAACCAGAAAACAAGTTAAGTTTTTTGTAAGCAAACACCCTTGTATATAAAATACTATAGTTTGATAACAGAGGTTAAAACACAAGATAATGGTTAATATCAAAGAAAGTCTTTCTTTTGTAAAATATGTTTGATATTCATAGCCTCCTATACTGAACTGGTAAAGTAATGCATTGTTAACTCATACTCTTACTGGTCACTAAATAATACATGAGAAACAAGATTTCTTTGGCCTGATTGGAGAAACCAGTTTAGCCGATCTTTGCATAAAATTCAGCTTGGCTATAGAAACAAGCTGAAGGTATATATCAGTATTGTCTTCATTTGAAATCAAGTCAAGGATATGATTACAGTAACTATTATCCTTCAACACTTTAGCCAGACTTTTGATTTGGCTTTCCAGCTGTTTTGCTTCAAGAGTCAATGATGAGTCTTATATATGTAGTTGAAATGAAATGCTCATTTTCCAACCTAAATTATATGCCTTTTATCTTTGATGAGTAGAAATCTTTAAAATTTTCCAATATTTATTGATGAAATGATTGTTCATAAAGCATGGCACTTCTTATTTGATTAGGATTTTGAACTAAAGTTATCTATATTCCATATAATTCTCATTTGGATTTAGATATTAAGGTGGTACATAACACTACAGGGAGATAACTCTGTAAAAATCAGCTGAACGTTTTAATCACGTTCTATTGTTAAGGAAATATTAAGCTTCTCAATGATTAAAATTAGTGTTTGTCACACTGCTATATATCCAATGAAATTTTTTCCGATAAAGTGTGTGGTTCAAGTTTTTTGAAATTTTCATATTTTTGTCGAAGGGTCAAAGTAAATATTTTGTCAAAATTTTATGAAAATTAAACGAGCCAAATTAATTTTAGTAAAGGTGTTTGGTACCACCTTAAGTGTATTTTGTTCTAAAGTAAAATGTAGCATTGTTGTGTAAAAAGATGTCAGTATATAAACTGTCAACTGTTAGAAAGAAAATACAGTGTGTTTTAATTAACCAAAACTGTAAAATATTGAATTACATCTGTAAATGCCAAAAATAATGATAAATATTTGTAAGGTATATAATAAACAAGTTGTTACACCTGTTCTAACCTTGGTATGTTTACATGCTCAACAAATTTCCTTGACTTATTAAATGCACTTTGCTTTAAAGGAATTCATGCATTCTTTGATAAAACTAGAAATGGCGACAAGAAACCCGAAATCAATCAAAAGGAAGGAACAGTTGTTTACCATGCATTGTTATGATAAATAATGAACGGTGCCAACTTTCTACAGCTGAGTTTACTAAAAAATTGTAATCACAGAAAAAACCAATCAAGAAATACTGCTACAATTTGTTTTATGCATTATCTTCCAAATCACTTCCATGACGCAACACAATGTTCACAAGGTTATAAATGTTAAACCTCAGATGGGGAATCTGCAATTCTATTTCCTTGTAATCTATAAAAATTGATTACAGCTCAAATTTTGATGGAAAATGAATTGCTTTAAAATCAGGTAGGCAGCTAAATTTTGTGGCTTTATTTTGTGGTTATAATTTCTGCTTATCTTTTTAAAAAATTAATCAACACTTTCATTCAGCTGTTTATAACATAATTTAATTTTCTTTTAAGTGCACATAAAAGAATCTAATTTCATATCTGTAAATTGATTTCTTTGAATAAAATTCATGTTTAAGTTCTTTAGGTTATTGAAATGAGATAAAATGAAAACTGCAAATATCATTCTTAAGCTTGTAAGGTTTGTACTGTTAATAATGTGAATCCATTTGAAAACACTAGACAAGCTGCATAATTTTAAGTACAATGTATTTCTGTAAAATCTGGTGAAATCTTTTTAGAATTGAAATGTGTGTAATTATTTTATTGGACGAATACATTAAGAATCGTTCTGCTTAATTTTAGGAGATATTTATTCTATTCTCCTTCTTAATTTATGAATTAGCGCCTTGTATTACTGAATTTGTTTTTTCAAACATACTTACAAAGTATTGTGAATCTTTGAACCTAGTGTGAGATTCATTCAATTTCCTATGCATATGGTTTTATGGAATATTACTAAACAAAATTTAAATGTGAGTTATAACTGTTAAAAAAAACTTTTATCTTGTTGCGTAACATCTGCATTGATTTCTGAATTACAGATGTTAATTATCTGCAATCCGGACATCACCTTGAAATCACTAAAATGAGGAATTCTGTCCTCTGCCTAATATATTACAAAACTCTTCTTCACTGATGTTCTGTAATTAATTATGTCGATATCAGTGATACTACACTGTAGTCGCTTTAACCATATGTATCTTTATTGAATATACATATATGTAAATATATGTATTTGATGCATTTATCGTATTTCCCTAATTTGAGATATTGTAGTTGCTTCAAGCTTTTCCATCGAATACATCTTTGATATCAGCTGATACTTATTATACCACACAGTTCAAAGTAGATGGGGGATTATAGGTTTTGACCCATCAGTCATTCAGTCCGATACTCTGTCGGTCAGTCTGTTAGTCATATTCGTTTCCGGATACTAATTCAAATACTTTATGTATTGGATTGCAAACTTACATGAATATGTATGTTTTGTATTGATTTTTAGGTCTCTATATCTAAGGTGAAGGCTATGGTTATAAAACCTTGCTAACTAAATGTTTTTGCTCATTCCACATTGGCTATATGTATAGGGGGAGGGTTCGGAGATCTCACAAAACTTGTTTAACCCTGTCGCTTTTTTACACCTGTCCCAAGTCAGGAACCAGACTCTAGCTTTTGTGAGTCTTCTGTGTTTTTTTAATTTTGGTTCATTTATATGTGTCAGAGTTTAGTGTGACGTCCATTTCACTGAACAAGTATATATTATTGTTCAGGGGCCAGCTGAAGACCGCCAGCTGAAGCCCGCCTATGGATGTGGGAGTATCTTACTGTTTTGAATACCCATTGGTGGCCTTGGGATGTTTCCTGCTCTGTGGTCGGGTTGTTGTCTCTTTGACACGTTCCCTGTTTCCATTCTCTATTCTATTTGATTAGATCTGCTTCCCTCTTTCTTGAAAAATAAAATAGGGGATCATACCCCTCCACCCTACCAAATATTAATTTTATATAAACAAAATTTAATTTTTAAATAGCTGAAAGGAAAAAAAGGTGTTTTGAAATCTGTTGTAGTAATGTTTATCTTAGAAGGATCACTATAAAGGAAATAGAGTTAGCTCTGTATATTTACAATCTTTAAAAATGCTTTTATAAGATAACCTTGAAAGCATAAACTAACAAACTATTTTACAATGACAGTTCCAAGATTTCAAAAAGCCATTACAGGTATACCCTATCTAATCAACTGTTTACATTTCAGGTCATTAAAAGCACCTCCAGCAAAAAGAGAAGAAACAAATATGGTCGCCATGAAGGGATGGCTTTACAGGCAGGTAAGAATCACATTTCATCTGTTTGGCTTGTAGATCTTTAAATAAAATTCTTTTGCCATTTTAAGTACATAGTGGCAAATAAAATACTTGAGATAAAATTTGCACCAAAAATCCCCTGTCTTCATATAATTGAATTACATATAGTAATTCATCTCTAGGAGATACTGTGGATTCATTGTTATTCGGGGGATACTAATGTTCATGGTTTTCATGGTCACAGGTTAACCACCAGTTTAAAAGTTCAACGATGTACTATATTTACTATAGACTTGAATGCACACTATGGCAAAACCCTAAAATCAAATATCCACGAAAATTGAATTTTTCTTCAATTCCTTGAAAATTGGTACCTGCAAATATAAGTGAATCCTAATTAACTGAATAAAATCAAAATATCCACAGAAATTTAATCTTTCCTTAATCCTTGAAAATTTGTACCCACAATAATAAATGGATTCCCATTGACTGAATTTTTTTTATTAAATTAGTTAATGGAGTTTCAAAAAGAAAATAAGCATGTACACGACACTAACATAATTTTCTGTCAGGTAAAACTATATTTAAACTCATGAATAATTACTTATTATATTTGACACACATGACCTACTAACATAAACATCATGAATATTTAAGGTCCAGTGAGCAATGTTTTTTCCTAATCTGGACAAAAACATTTCTTTACTAGTTTTTCACACTGAACCAGATTTTAAACATATAATCTTCTTAATTTGTACCGTAGAAAGGCTTGTATAGTTCGCAGTGGTACATAGTCCGCACCCCCTTCTCCCCACGAAATTTTAGGTAAAAAAACTTTTTGTAACTGTTAGAAAAGGTCTAATGAAACTCCGGTAATTTCAAATCCTGTGCGGTCGTTTGCGGTATTTTCTTGGAAAAACCTGTTTTCCATCATCAAACAGAAGCTGAAACTGCTTGTTAATGATTCTAGAATGCTTCATGATTGTTAAAATAAGTTTAATTCACTTAAAAAAACAATTTAGAAACTTGTGTATGTTTAAACAGGAAGTTTAAAAAGCACGTGTAAAAGAAGAAATTAACCGGTGAGAGTCGAAATCCGTACATAACAGATATCACTATAATACGACTTTGAAAGTAAAACAGTTCCATCCTTTTGTAAAACAGTCTTTAATATATCTATCACATTAATGTTTGAAGGGTCTTAAGCTAATACAAACCATATTAGTCAGTATGAAACACCAAAACGGAACGAACAATAACCGATTTCGTTTTGTAGTTTACAAATTCTAAGCTGGTTTACGGTTGTCTTTTTCACTATGTTTGTATCGTTTCAATCGAGCAGATACCAGTTTATTTCAACCAATGCATTGAAAAGAAACGAGAAATTTGTAATGAAAGGTTTAGTTTTTATATTTATCAGTATTAATTTGAGATTGAATAGAAATAACTTATTAATATGGATGAGTTAAAATTATTAGTTTGAAAAATGATAAGAGCGCCCTCTACAATAGAAATAACAAAGATGGCGGAACGTAAACAAACCACCTCGACCGCGAAATTGAAATTTTTCTCTTATTTCTTGCTTATTGTACTCTATAGTCCGCACCCCGTCTGGAAGGTCCAATTTTGGAGAATAAAACCGCGGACTATACAAGCCTTTCTACGGTAATTAAAAATTGCAGAAAGGCCTCACCCCAGCTTTACATAGCATGACTGCACTTAGACTGACCAGTCTATGCTTTTGCGTATCTGCTCTTAGATTGGGTTAGTTGCAGCAAATACCAGTTTCATGAAATCTTTGGTTTGAACTTAAAAGTTCACGAATTGAATACAAATTTACCCCCAGACTTGGGGCAAGCACATTATATCCAAAAAACCAATTGAGACACTTTTGAATCTTTGACAAAATAGACACAAAATTGAAAAAAAAAAACCAGCAGACCAAGGTCAGTGTAAGGATAAACACAAATGATAAAAAAATTAACAGATACAGACTCGTCAGTTTGCTCTGAAAAAGTATCTTCCAATCACTGTTTTTAAGCATGAATGATTTATTGGTTGATTGTGTTTAACGCGACTATCAGCACTCCTGGCTATATTATGTTGGCCAGTTTTTATTAGTGAAGGAAGCCAAAGCACTCAGAGAGAACCACTGACCCTAGACAGAAAACCTGGCAATACTAGTCAATTAAGATGGACGAGCAAGTTTCCAACTCACAATCTTGGTTAAGATGAGTAGGGTTCCAACTCACAATATCAGCTTTAACAGGCTAGTGATAACTGTAGATGAACTACTTAGAACACTTGGCCAGCGAGCCTATATGTAATTTATTTCATGTATGAAAGGAAATGCCATTTAATACAATGTACTACAGATGCATGCTTTGTTCTATTATAGGAAAGTGGTTTTAAATCATGGAAGAAAAGATGGTGTGTTTTAGCTGATTTTGGGTTGTTTTTCTATAAAGGTATATATATTTCATGTGTTTAAAACTTGTATTCTAATGTTTATGCAATGAGATATATGTAATATGGTCAAGCAAAAAACAAAAAAACAATTGTTGCCTGCCTCCTTGCTACAAAAACTATAGGGAGGGCCTGTATAAATATTTGTTGTTTTACACATCAATGACTGCACTGAGGTGTTAATATTTAGAACTTAGTTACAGAGGAATAAAACAAATTTCTATGGACACACTTTTAGTACTAATGAAGGTCTGTGCAAAAGTTTAGTCACTGTGACCTATATTAAGTGTTTAAGTGATATTTCGTTTCATTTCAAACTTTGAATAGGACTAAGTTATCCGTATATGCATTTTAGATGCTTCTGAATGCCTATACAATAGACTGGATCATCATGACCTACATTTTATAACTGATTTTGAAGATTTGCATAACAAGGTCAACAAACTAGGAGTTAGTTGTCTTTTTGGACTGGTGTAAATTTCTTAAGATTTTACATACCGGTACATAAAATTTTCACAGATCTTATTTAAATTTCCGTAATTTTATTTGGTATTTTTTTTAGTTATTGAAAATGTTTACCTCGATATTAATTGAAATATGATGATTTTTTTCAGATGATGAAGAGAAAAACCAGATAGGTTCAATATTACTTCCTAGCTATAAAATAGGTCAATGTCTGCCTGGAGAATCTAGTAAAAAGTATGCCTTCAAAGCAGAGCACAGTAACATGAAAACCTACATGTTTGCATCAGATAACCAAGAGAACATGGATATGTGGATAAGTCTTCTCAAATCAGCCGCCATGTTAAGAGGACCTTCCATGTAAGTATTATTTTTGTGTTTCAGAATTAAAAGCATTTTGTACTTGAAGATAAAAATTTTCCAAAAAGAATATGTCAATATACCTTTGCTATTACACATGAACAAATAAAGTTGAATAATTCTATTATTAAAGAATTTATTATTGAAAATTAAAAATAAATAAACCATTTCACATCAAAATAAAATAACAAGATGTGGTTTGGTTGCCAATGAGACAACTATCCTCCAGAGACCAAATGATGTGGATTTAAGTAACTATAGGTCACCATTCAGCCTTTTACAATGATGATAACTGAGTTGTAAAGTAAGATCTGAAAGGCCCAGACATGATAAAATGTGAAACAGTTCAAGTGTCAAAACCAATGGCCAGATAACAAGATAATTAACGAATAAGAAAAAAATAAATATGGCAGACAGCAATAATGACAACCACTGAATTACAGGCTGTGTTTAAACATGTTTGTGAGTGCTCAAATCTCCCTTTACCTAGGACAGTGGCGAAACAGCACAAAATGAGAACAAAATGTCAAAAACAATTAGAAACTACTAAAAGAAACACAAGATTGGCTGACAAGAAACACAAGATTGTTGTCAGCCAATCAAAATCAATGAAACATATATGTATTAAAATTATGGACAGTCACTGACCACAACTATGCTAATTTGCTAGTAGGCTGGACTGAATATTTAATTGATTGTAAGTTGCTTAACATTGAGTCGAAAATATTTTATGCATGTTGAGGACAATAGGATATTTAAGGTTCAGTGGCGGATCCAGAACTTTTCATAAGGGGGGCCCACTGACAGACCTAAGGGGGGCCGCTCCAGTCATGCTTCAGTGATTCCCTATATAATCAACCAAATTTTTCCCACAAAAGCCCCCCCCCCCCCCCCCCCCCCCCTGGATCCGCCTATGAGGTTTATGATCTGCGTGATTATTTGATAAAAAAACCAACCCTGTTTGTTGTAAAATAAATATGACTTAGAAATGACACATTCTTGTTTCAGAAGCAGGAATTGAAAGACTTGTATTTTATAACTACTGTATATGAATACTTTAAAATATAGTGTCTTTCTATTTGGTTTACAGTACAGAAAAAGAACCTAACAATAACAGTCCACAAAAGCTAGTCCCTAAGTCTGCTTTTATGGAATGGGATGAAGATGAAGGGTCTCCTATGAGTAAAAAATTTTGGACTGAAGGACCTGATGTGGGGTCCCCACATGAAAGGAAACAGAGACCTCCAGAAAATAGATCTCCAGATTATAATAGAAGTCCTCCTAATCAAATAGGCACTTATTCCAACAATAGGCAGCATGAACCAAGAACCCCTGATGATCCTCACTTCCGAGATGATAAACGATCTCCTAGTAGTCCATCTTCAAGGCCCAAAATTCCTATAGACAAAAACATGCCAAAAGGAATAACATATGACCCTTTCCATGGTTATCGTAATGATCCAAGAAATAATAAAGTTCAGGAGCAAGAAAAAGCAAGTCCTAGAGAAAGGTACAATGAGAGACACAGAGAGCCAAAACAAAAGGGTCACAGACATCAAGAAAATGACTCTAGGCAACGATACCCAAGTGATGATAGCCGTCAGAATGATCCTAGACCAGGATATCCTAGTAATGAAAGCCGACAGAATGATCCTAGACAACAATATCCAAATGATGTTAGACAAAATGATCCTAGGCAACACTATCCAAATGATCCTAGGCAACAATATCCAAATGATCCTAGGCAACAATATCCAAATGATGTTAGACAAAGTGATCCTAGGCAACAATATCTAAATGATAATAGACAAAATGATCCTAGGCAAAGAGATCCAAGTGATGATAGTCCACATGGACCAAAATCAAGGCATAAAAACAGTCCTTATTTTAATTCTCAATCAGGAGTCCCAAAGGACTCCTTTAACAAATATGCATCAGAAAGAGTTCCTCGAGATTCAAGATCACAATATCCAGAAGAAGCAGATAGGTACAGGTCTCGATCTGCAGAAAAGCATCAATCAAATATGGATTCAAGGTATCCAGAAGAAAATTCTCAGTACGGACCAAGAGATTCAAGGTCTGGTTATTCTGAGGAGTCTGATCAACAACGAAGGTCACGTAAACGTGACCCTACAGATGGTCTTCCTGCCATACCAAAAGAACAAATGCACAATGCTTCAAGACGACATAGGGACTCTGATAGGAGATATGAAAGACAACGACCAAAAAGTGAATATTTAGAAAGACATAATGGACATTCACAATTGGATAATCCTATGTTTAATGATGGGAGACAACCACCACATGAATTTCTGAGTGCAGCATATGATAGACAACAAGAACAAATGCAAAAATCTCATGCGACTCCACAGGACCTGTCACCAGGTCGTTATTCTGACGATGCTCATGAGAAACAAGCACCTAGAAGTCCAGGGTATGATGATGATAGTGGTATGTATGATCCCTTTCAAACTCAAAGAATTTATGATCCTTTTCATGGATATAGACAAAAGCCTTCTTCAGAGACTAAAGCCAAGGAACCAGAGGTGGAATACAGTAAAATTATCAAAGTACGAAGAGGACAGGATAATGAACAACATCCAGAGGATTATCCTTACATGCAGATGAATTCTTCAAGGTAATTTAATTTTCTAACTCAATATTGTTTTTATACCATGTATCTAAAGAATATAAAAATAAGAAGATGTGGTATGATTGCCAATGAGACAACTATCAACCAGAAAACAAATGGCCTGGTTTATGTGCAAATTAATAAACCAAAAACAATTATGATACACGGCAACAAATGACAACCACTAAATTACAGGCTGCTGACTTGGAACTGGCACACACAGAATTTGGTGGGGTTACATTTTCCTAAATATTTACTTCTTTATTGCATTTCAAAATTTAGTAAGCAAATTAGCAATCTACAAATGAATTTTGTTGTCCATACATTGTATCAGCACTTATGCCCAATACACATCAGATTCTGATAAAATTTATGGCAGAAGGTTTAAATCAGTCATATCAGATATGTTTGGAAATGATATTTTAGCCAATTGATATTTTGTTTTCAATGTATATAATATGGTTACCGTTATCAACATTGTAAGTGCTCTCCGGCCTACATTTTTCATTGTATTATTTATTTTGACGAGTTTGTATTATGTATAGTTGTTTTAGATCTTTTTTTAACAAAGCACTCTCATCAAAGATAAATAGATCTCTATTATGTTTTGTTTTATTTATAGAAGTGGGAAGCACCCTGATGACTACATTACACATGATAGGTTACAGCAATCTATGCAACAGGATAGGAAAGATTTAACTAGTAGTTTGCGGGAAGGAGATAATTTCGGACAGTACTCTCCACAAACTGAATCTCGACAGAGAGAAAAACAAAATCCTAGTAGACTGGAGGATCCATATGCACAGTCAAAGTATGATAGATCACAACCTCAGGAAACAGAACAAAAATTTGTGTATTCTTCTCAGGACAATTTTAATGAGGAAGATCCATATCACATTCGTCATAATCGTGATCATTTACCCACGCATGAACAATATCATCCAGGTTATAGAGAACCTGAAGACGGATATAGTACATTGACTAAATATAAAGATAAATCAAATGGACCGCAACCTCAAGAACCGTCACGGACAGAACAGACTCAACTTTCTCATTATGACACAAATCCTGACCTTTCTCATCATACATATGAAAATATTCACAATACACGAAGAGACATGATGGATGACACTCCAAACCGACCTCCACTACCTACAGCTGTGCGGCAACAAATTGTTGAAGAAATTGCACAAGCCAAAACTCCACATACTTCTCAGGAAATTTTAGATGCCGAAAGAAACTTGGAAGTTAGGATGCAGCAGCCAGCTTTCTTTAATTATCCCACTCCAACCTTGCCACCAACTCATTCACATCAGGTAGGTTATATGGAAAGTAGACAAGTTATATCAATATATGATATGGAGGTTGAAGTTATTGATGCTCCAGGTAGTTATGAATCTTACAATACTGCTATTCAAAACATGTCATATAAAGTTTAGTTGATACTTACAGAGTTATCATACATTACTGGTGAAGAATGTGACATGTTCGATACATTGGAATAAACAACTATATGTTAACAGAGGATTATAATCACCAAGATATTTGTATTAAATGGATTAGTATTTAAACAATTGTTGATCATGCTGTGTATAGTGTAATTTTCAGGTTTTTACTTAACAATAAAAATTTCTGAATATTTTTTAATGACAATTTCTTGTGAAATCAATACTCAAGTACTAAAGGTTCAAATACTTAAAAGTACTGGAGTACTCTGATAATATAATCGGTACTAACAGTTTTAAGTGTCATTTATTCCTACTAATTAGTAAACAGACAAAGGGTAATCACCCACATGTACATCACACATTACATTTTATAAATTTTAGCTACTGGTTGAAAAAGAAATGAACTCACAACTTTCTTACTTACTTTAAATTTACTTACTGTTTAAGAACCCAGTCATAGACCCAAGATATGGTAAGCCATCAGATTCCATGGGAAGACAGTACCATCCCCATAGAGATAATTACCATGACAACCGGTCTTATGACCAGGGAAGATCAAGGTATCCTGAAGGTTTACCTACTAGAGGTCAAGTTGAAGAAGACTTAAGGATGTTGGTACAACCCGATTTAAATGCTGATCCTCGCTCCAGACATGGTAAAAATGCATTTCACAATTATAGTTGATATCATTACGATTTGTATTTCAAATTAGTAACTTGTTAAAAAATTAATGAAAATGTTTAAAATTTGAATTTTATTAGAATACAAGTTTCAACTTTGGCTTTTACATCTTAGTTTTCATTCACGCTTTAAAGCTTTTTTGCACAGATTTCAGTTTCTAAAAAGCTTTGATTGAAGTGTTCTAAATTTTACTTTGATTAATTTAACCTTTTAATGCTGCAAACAAAAGTTGGAACTTTAAATATAAAGATACTACCAATTGTTAACGCTGGTTTTCAGAACATGTATGTTTCATTTTTGCTTTGTAACAATTTATTGCTTATTTTTCAATAATATTTTCCATTAACTTAGATTTATTTTTCAACAATTCATCATTATTAAATGGTTAACATATTTACTTAACTTGTTAGCACTTTCAATACACTTCCCAATTAATCCTTGCACTTGGAAACAGAACATATTTTATTGATGTTTGTCCTTTAATGATTATTTGTGAAATATTTGATAGCTATCATTTGGAGTGTGAAATGTATAAAAATGTGTGTGAAAGTGTGTTTTGATGTGTGTGTTTTAGATAATAACCAAGAAAGCTTGTATTTTTCACTGCTATAATGGTAGATTTGCTTTCCTACATGTTCTGACATTATAATAAGTTGAATTATATAATAATGCTTTCTGTAAAAAAAAATCAAAGTATAAGCTCTTTGTCATAACATGTATGTTAGGGATTGCAAGTTTACCACATTGCAGTAATTTAGTGTTGCTTTTATGGAATGTAATTTCTTAAATTCTGTTTGATTTATGTTACAATTTCATAATATAAAATTTATTTATTACCTTAATTATAAACTCCTGCAAACAAAAATTTTGGGGGATATGTAGAAATTACCCTGTTCTGCCATTCATCCATCTGGCTGTCTATGTACTTTATAAGCGGTTGTGAAATATAATTTTGGGCCGACATGTTAAAGGGGAGATAATTATTGAATTTACTTACTTCACTATACTAATAATATTGGGAGGGGGTTCCTTTTTACAAGATCAGGATAGTTAGGGTGATATTTTCAGCTTAAATGTAATGAATTACACCGAATGAAAAACAGATATAAATGGGTTTTTTTTTCAGCATTTATTGCAAATTTTCTGTCTTTGACTTCAGACTTAAATGTCACATTATCCTTGTTTTGTATTCTCAGCACAAAGGCCACATATTTATATTCAAATATTTTGTACAAGGATTTGAAGTCAGTTTGATCAAAACAAGAGTTAACTTCATCATACATTTAGTTGCCGTCAGAAAGATAATTGATAAATTTGTTAAGTTTTACTTTATGCTTTTATAATGGGGAAATGAAATTGTAACAATAACTGTTGTTTAGTTTTGGTAGCTGATTTTGAATAGCTTTGTTAGGCTAAGCAAAGATATATGTTTCTGGTTCTTTACGTTTCTGTATCTATATAATTTTTTATCGTACAAAAATTTGTTTAGTTAAATAATTTCTGTTATTTCATTATGGGCATTTTTTTTGTGAGAAAAATTCCTGCAATCAGCAGATTTAAAAATTGATATGGATAAACCACTTTTCCCTACTGTTGGGATTAGGGTGCAGTACCAAACAGCTTCTTAAACCTTTTAATTTGATTTATTTATATTGGAAAGAAAGAATATAGTGAATTATATATACAGTCAAATCTGCTATAAAGGTCACCCACTGTAGCCATATCTAAGCCATATCTAAGCATTTTGAACCTCAATTTTAAGGTCACTTCTCTTATAAGGTCAGATTTCTCTGGTCCAGAAGAGGACATTAAAAACAGGTTTGGCTGTACTTGAGAATATGTTGGATTAATAAAGTATAAATGCATGTATCAGTGTATAAACCAGAAACATATAAGTTAGCCAAAGTTGCACTCTGTTTGAATATGCATTGTAACATTTTTTGTCTTGTTTTTCTGTGTAGTTTTACCATAGCACAAATCTGTAGTGTCAAGTGCACAGTTATTGCTTGCATTAACTTTATTTACCCTTGTTTTATAGCTAAATTTGTTTTTATAAAAAACAGTCTTGTTTCAATTTTTAATTTTAATATTTATTCATTATTAAAGCTGAAATACAGCTTTTTGTTAATATCTTTGTACACAACCTTGTGCACTTTTTTTGTTTCAAAAGTAAAGTATGAGATTTAGTTATTTAGTATATCAATATCAATTATAAAGTTCTCCCTATCTTATCTAAAAGGTTGAAAATTGAATAAGATGCTTAAGTTTGTTTTGTTTTTTTTTTCTTTTTCTCACTGATATGATGCTTAAATTTGCAAATATGAATTAAAATTTCTTTATTAATCTTTGGGACTATTTAGAGGTTTAATTATATGTTTTAGATACTAGAGAATGTTTTCAGTATATTTTCTATTCAAAGAGTTTAAAATAGAAATTTCATTTTCAAAATATTGATCTTTTAGAATTTGATAGCAATAATTCTAGCTCTTAAAGATATTTTTTTGCTAACAAACAAAAAAATCGTTAGAAGCCCATACAAATATTTCATATTCATCTTATATAAAAATGTTTTCTCTGTCTTTGTAAAAAAGGAAAGATGTCATGATATGGTAAACAATAGAATCATAGAGATATGAATTATACTTTGAAAATCCTTCTGTTTATTGTTACTTAACTGTCCTCTAGATAATAGCACTATACACACAAATTGCATGCAAGCATATGTAACGTTTTCTTCTAGGTGGACACTCTATTGGGAAAGGCACAGCACAAAATCCTGAATTCGATCCTGACCTCACCAACACTCAAAGCACTAACAATACTAAAAAAACTGAAAACTCATCCAATTTTGATGACATTCAATCTACAGATTCGGGAATTCTGCATCCACATGAAAGTGATCTACTTAGAAGGAGACTGTCACAACAGAAGTCACCACCTGATCAAGACCAAATGTCACGAGACAGAGATCCAGGAGAAGATAATCCAAGTGACATGTTGAATGAGTTATCTACCCTTGGTCATGGGAAAGGTTCACCATATGTTAATGTTGACTCAATTGTTAGGTCTGATGAGAGAGAAATGGACCAACCTTCAGCATTTAGGCCTCTGTCAAGAAATATAAATGCCTCACCTAGATATGGACATGACTCTAGGCCAGAAGGTCATGAAAGGTCAAGGACTTCACAGAGTGAGAGTCTTCAAGATATGGACGAAACAGATATTAAGAAAAGGGGTTCAGTGGCTAGCTCTCAAGTATCAGAGCAGAGTCACAGAAGCTACAACAAGTTAACAGGTATCTTCAACACATAGAAAGGAACACAAAAATATTTGAGGAATTGCAGTGTTAATTCTTGAAAAAGGTTTACAGAATGCTACTAAAATCTTCACTACATTTAACATTGATATCCATTCCTAATGACAAAAAGAGCTTTTATGGAAATTTTGTATTAGTATGCTTTAAGCATATTTTTGTTTTTTTTTTTCTTCAAAAATAACATTTTAAACCCTATATATGATATTGCCTGAGAGAATTACAATGAACCACACAAGCACTAAGAAAATAATTTGACATACCACTAGCATGTTTGTATATAGTGCATTAGAAGTTTGAATTTGTAATTGTAAATTTTGTTGTTGTCTTAGTGTTATTTTGATTACTTTTTGTTTATTATTTTTTTTTTATTGATGGTGTTAGTAATTCCCATAGTATGTAGTTGTACAGAGTATGTGGGAGTAGAATGTAGAATTAACCATCATTGAATGGAAATGATTTTTTTAACTCCATATGTTAGTATGTCTTGTTTCAAGTGCAAAGTTGAAAAACAATAAAAAAAAAATCTGGCCAAGACATGTTTGTCCTTTAAGAGTCTTAACATTTGTATGTTGATATAAATAAGTTGATTTGAAATCTCAATCAATATTTACCTCTTTCTTAAATAAAACATCTCCAAATTACTTAAATGTTTAACCACACCCGATCTGGTCAATTAATGTAATAACATATTTTGACTTTAGTGTTTATATAGAATGTATACAAGTCTATATTCCTTATTTTTGGTCATTATGGTACTTCTCGTGATTACTATCTTCTTTTAACGATGTAAACATTCCTGTCTCTTATTGAAATCATAATTAAGGAATCTGATCATAATTAAACCATTGTAAATAATTCACATGAAAATCTGTAATTCTTATAGAATACACAGCATATTGTTAAAATCAGGTGAAACTTTTGAAGTTGTAGTTACAAAAGAATATTTAATTTTTATACGACCGCAAAAATTGAAAATTTTTTGGTCGTATATTGGTATGACGTTGGCGTCGTCGTCGTCGTCGTTGTCGTCTGGCGTCGTCCGAAGACACATTGGTTTTCGCACTCTAACTTTAGTTTAAGTGAATGGATCTCCATGAAATTTTACCATAAGGTTCAATACCATGAAAGGAAGGTTGGGATTGATTTTGGGGGTTATGGTACCAACAGTTAAGGAATAAGGGGCCAAAAAGGGGCCAACAATAAGCATTTTTGTAACTTCCAGACAATAACTTGTGTGTAAGTGTATGGATCTCTCTGACATTGTACCACAAGGTTCCATATCACAAAGGGAAGGCTGTAATTGATTTTGGGGGTAATTGCCTCAAAATGTTAGGAATTAGGGGCCAAAAAAGGGGCAAAAAACAAGCATTTTTCTAGTTTCATGACAATAACTTGTGTGTAAGTGTTTGGATATTTCTGAAATTGTACTACAAGGTTCCATATCACAAAGGGAAAGCTGGAATTGAGTTTGGGGGTAATTGCCCGAAACGTTTAGGAATTGGGGGCCAAAAAGGGGCCAAAAATAAGCATTTTTCTAGTTTCCAGACAATAACTTGTGTTCAAGTGTATGGATCTCTCTGAAATTGTACTGCAAGGTACCATACCACAAAGGGAAGGCTGAGATTGAGTTTGGGGGTGATGAATCAAAAGGGGGTTCAAAAAATTTTGGGGGGGGATTTTTTTTTTTCTTTTTTTCCTTTTTTTTTTCTTTTAAAATTTTCCATTTTAAGTTGATTATTTCTGATTTATATTTAAAAGCAAATAATAATGATATGGTAGGAGATACACACCAAACAGGATGTGTAAATTATTATATAATAAGTATTGTGCAATAGCAAGAAATTTTCAATTGCACAGTATTGCACAATAGCAAGAAATCTTCAATTGCACAGTATTGCGCAATAGCAAGAAATCTTCAATTGCACAGTATTGCGCAATAGCAAGAAATATCCAATAGCACAATATTGCGCAATAGCAAGAAATTGTCAATTGTACAGTATTGCGCAATAGCAAGAAATAATCAATTGCACAGTATTGTGCAAAAGAAGATACTTCGTATAAATTGCTTATTTCTTGATCAATTTCAATGGGGTTTTATTCTTGAATTCTTGGGGTTCTTTAATATGCTGAATCTAACCGTGTATTAAGTTTTTGGATTTTGGGCCCCGTTTTTAAATTGGTCCACATTGAGGTCCAAAGGGTCCAAAATTTTACTTTGTTTGATTTCATCAAAAATTGAATTATTGGGGTTCTTTGATATGCCGAATCTAACCGTGTATTTAGATTCTTAATTTTTGGTTCTGTTTTCAAATTGGTCTACATAAAGGTCCAAAGGGTCCAAAATTAAACTTAGTTTGATTTCAACAAAAATTGAATATATGGGGTTCTTTGATATGCTGAATCTAACCATGTATTTAGATTTTTGATTATGGGCCCAGTTTTCGAGTTGGTCCAAATCGGGGTCCAAAATTAAACTTTGTTTGATTTCAACAAAAATTGAATATATGGGGTTCTTTGATATGCTGAATCTAACCATGTATTTAGATTTTTGATTATGGGCCCAGTTTTCAAGTTGGTCCAAATCGGGGTCCAAAATTAAACTTTGTTTGATTTCAACAAAAATTGAATATATGGGGTTCTTTGATATGCTGAATCTAACCATGTATTTAGATTTTTGATTGTTGGGCCCCGTTATCAACTTTGTCCACATTGAGATCAAAAGGGTCCAAAATTAAACTTTGTTTGATTTCATCAAAAATTGAATTTATGGGGTTCTTTGATATGCTGAATCTAACCATGTATTTAGATTTTTGATTATGGGCCCAGTTTTCAAGTTGGTCCAAATCGGGGTCCAAAATTAAACTTTGTTTGATTTCAACAAAAATTGAATATATGGGGTTCTTTGATATGCTGAATCTAACCATGTATTTAGATTTTTGATTATGGGCCCAGTTTTCAAGTTGGTCCAAATCTGGGTCCAAAATTAAACTTTGTTTGATTTCAACAAAAATTGAATATATGGGGTTCTGTAATATGCTGAATCTAACCGTGTATTAAGTTTTTGGATTTTGGGCCCCGTTTTTAAATTGGTCCACATTGAAGTCCAAAGGGTCCAAAATTTAACTTTGTATGATTTCATCAAAAATTGAATTATTGGGGTTCTTTGATATGCCGAATCTAACCGTGTATTTAGATTCGTAATTTTAGGTTCCGTTTTCAAATTGGTCTACATAAAGGTCCAAAGGGTCCAAAATTAAACTTAGTTTGATTTTAACAAAAATTGAATTTTTAGGGTTCTTTGATATGCTGAATCTAAACATGTATTTAGATTTTTGATTATGGGCCCAGTTTTCAAGTTGGTCCAAATCGGGGTCCAAAATTAAACTTTGTTTGATTTCAACAAAAATTGAATATATGGGGTTCTTTGATATGCTGAATCTAACCATGTATTTAGATTTTTGATTATGGGCCCAGTTTTCAAGTTGGTCCAAATCGGGGTCCAAAATTAAACTTTGTTTGATTTCAACAAAAATTGAATATATGGGGTTCTTTGATATGCTGAATCTAACCATGTATTTAGATTTTTGATTGTTGGGCCCCGTTATCAACTTTGTCCACATTGAGATCAAAAGGGTCCAAAATTAAACTTTGTTTGATTTCATCAAAAATTGAATATATGGGGTTCTTTGATATGCTGAATCTAACCATGTATTTAGATTTTTGATTATGGGCCCAGTTTTCAAGTTGGTCCAAATCGGGGTCCAAAATTAAACTTTGTTTGATTTCAACAAAAATTGAATATATGGGGTTCTTTGATATGCTGAATCTAACCATGTATTTAGATTTTTGATTATGGGCCCAGTTTTCAAGTTGGTCCAAATCGGGGTCCAAAATTAAACTTTGTTTGATTTCAACAAAAATTGAATATATGGGGTTCTGTAATATGCTGAATCTAACCGTGTATTAAGTTTTTGGATTTTGGGCCCCGTTTTTAAATTGGTCCACATTGAAGTCCAAAGGGTCCAAAATTTAACTTTGTTTGATTTCATCAAAAATTGAATTATTGGGGTTCTTTGATATGCCGAATCTAACCGTGTATTTAGATTCTTAATTTTAGGTTCCGTTTTCAAATTGGTCTACATAAAGGTCCAAAGGGTCCAAAATTAAACTTAGTTTGATTTTAACAAAAATTGAATTTTTAGGGTTCTTTGATATGCTGAATCTAAACATGTATTTAGATTTTTGATTATGGGCCCAGTTTTCAAGTTGGTCCAAATCGGGGTCCAAAATTAAACTTTGTTTGATTTCAACAAAAATTGAATATATGGGGTTCTTTGATATGCTGAATCTAACCATGTATTTAGATTTTTGATTTTTGGGCCCTGTTATCATTTTTGTCCACATTGAGATCAAAAGGGTCCAAAATTAAACTTTGTTTGATTTCATCAAAAATTGAATTCTTGGGGTTCTTTGATATGCTGAATCTAACCATGTATTTAGATTTTGGATATTGGACCATAATAGGTGAATGTCCAATTTAAAATTTTTAAGTTCTTAGACCACATTCATTCTGTGTCAGAAACCTATGCTGTGTCAAATATTTAATCACAGTCCAAATTCAGAGCTGTATCAAGCTTGAATGTTGTGTCCATACTTGCCCCAACTGTTCAGGGTTCGACCTCTGCGGTCGTATCAAGCTGCGCCCTGCGGAGCATTTTATTTATTTTTATATTAATAAACTTACTGTAAAGTGTAAACATATGAGTATGTCAGACATAAATGATGGATGGAATTTTAGTGGAACTCTTGTTATGAATTAAACACATTAAATAACTTTTAGGTTTAAAACGCACTAATTAAATAACTTTTGAATTTAAACATGTTAATTGATAAAAAGATGGCTTGAAAAATCTTTTAATAAAACAAGAACAACTGCATGGAATAGAATTGTAAAAAAGAATGATTTATTTATGAATTTTATTTTTTTCCAGGTGGTCCATTACGACCTGGTGGAAAGCAGCCTCCCAAATCTCTACCTCTGATACAAACTGTTAAAGAACACCCTGATATGCCGGATTCTGATATCATTGTAAGTATATGTCATACTGTGGATTCATTACTATTCGTGGGATACCAATTTGTATGAATTCCGTGGGTACAGGTGAACAACAAATTTAAATGTTCAATGAAATACAAATTTCTGAAAGGCTTATATGCAGACTTTGACACATTCCCCATTTCCATTCTCAATTTTATTATGCAAAACCACAAAATCAAATATCCACGAAAATGCAAGTTTTTCACAATCTACAAAAATTAATATCCACGAAAATAAAAGGAGTCGACAGTATATGTTAAACTCAAGTTAAGGACAATTATCAACTTGATATTGAGATGGTTTTCTGAAATTCATTATCATATACTTTTTAATAGGGGAGCCAGAGAATATTACAGAATTATATTAAAATTTTGACACAGTTCAAATTAGAATATAAGATTGATGCTTTTCTAACATAAAAACTAATAATTGATTACATTGGGCAATTATGTACCAGTTATCTCACACAACTATTTATTGTCTTTATTCTACATTTGCCACAATTATACAAACTGATATAAGAAATAAAATAACCTGATAATATATAATTAATACCATTTCTTTGCAGGAAACAAGGGAAATTCCAGACTTGCATGCCAAATATCCTGCCTTAAGTGGAACCAGACTTAGAATGAGTATATCTGCTGCTGATTTAATTGGAAAAACAGTAAGTTGTCAGGTTGGCTCTGACGTGTGTAGATCTGTTTGTCTGAAATCAGGAACCTGCAACTCTTTTCACACAAATTCTTACGATTAAAATTGATCATAAGTTGAACTGAAACATATGTATGTATGTAAAAATTTTTGGGAACAGAGCCTCTGGTCAGTTAAGGCTGTGGCTATATCTATGTGTTATCGGTCCTTTGGAGAATTTGGTGTTGATGGCAACTTATGTATAATCTCTTGTAAAGGTGAAAGTTTGATAAAGCTCTTTGTTTTTTAGACCTAAGATTTAGCTATTATTTTAGGTCTTTTTTGGTCATATAGCTCTTCATCTGTTTCGGTTCTTATACATCCTTGGCATTCAAATATTAAATTTATAAAGCATAATTTAAATTTTTTACCCCTTGAATTTGAATAAAAAAGATTAATAAATATAGATGCTCACAAGATATGTCTGTCACTTATCAGTAGTTATATTTTCAATTATTTCTTACATGTTTGCTTTGGAGCTTCAAATTACTTGAATATTATGCAAAATTGCAAAAACTGCCTACAAAGACTCATTTTGTGACTGCGTCATTAATATTTATGTATGAACCAATGTCTTACCCAAAAATATAAATTGCTACACATTGCCATCTATAAAAAATCTTAAATGTGGGTTTCTGTTGCTATAGCTTGTTATAAAATTCAATATTTCCTACTAAAGCTAAATTTAAACTTTATTAAATCGTAAGTTATAGAAGTATTTATAGCTGTTGTCTTTTTTTTAGCATGATGAATTAGTGCTATTGTTGATACAGTTGAGGAGAGAATTCACAGCTTTGGAGAAAGTCAGGAATTATTATAGGGAACAGGTACAAAAGAAAAGATCAGCGGAGATTGCATATAGAAAAATGTAAGTTGTACTGGTAGCATGAGAATTGTAAGAGACAGTGTAGAATTAAGGAAATCTAGTTTGCTAATGAGAATTCACCAGTGTCCAAATGACGTGAACAACTATAGGTCACAGTACAGCCTTCAATAGTGAGCAAAACTCATACCACGAAGTAAGCTATAAATGGCCCCATGTAAAATAATTAAAAAAAAATCAATTCCTGATTTACTACAAATCAAAAGAAAAAAAGAGGACAGGAAGCCACCAACAACAACCACTGAAATACAGGCTCCTGTACAAGGTTTTCTTTTGTAGAGTCTTAAAATTGGGAAACAGTGAATACATGTACTAATTTCATTGTGAACCACACATTTCTTGAGTAACTTTCATCAGTATGCTCGAGACCAAAGTTGGAGAGAATAAGCATAGAGATTTTAGAGCATAAAACAAAAAGGCATAAAAATAACAGCCAAAGTTTAAGGCATGTGTCATGTTGATATAAATGAAAAACCTTCAGGGTTTGACATAAGGTTATCACTTAAGTGCTGTTACTTAAATACTAAATACATTTGACAGTTAAAAAGAATGAACAAACTTCACCTAATTATTTTCAATTAGAATAGTAACTTTTTACGATTGTAAATTATCAAAATAATCATTGCTGTTCTATTTTTCACCAATAGACACCTCATTCATGGGAAATTCTAATGTATGTTGTATGCACTTCAGCTATCAGAATTATTTTAAATGCCAAGAAATAAAAGAAAATCAATGGATAGCTTTCAGCCAAACTGTGAACATTATAAGTTAGATGAAAGTTTTTCTCTTATTAGATAGATTTTGTTATTATATGGTACTTATCTTTATAGGCAACAAGATTCTCACCAGCTAATAGATCCCAGACTGGAGGGTCAACATAATGAATATGTGGAAATGAAATATCAAGGGGAGGAGTGTGATAAAAAGTTAGAAGTTTACAGACCTATTGTTAACCTTGTACATAATATGGTTAACATGGGCAGTCTATATGGAGGGGACAATTTAATGTTAGCCTCACAATATAGAAAGGTAAGTAAGACGTGTACAGACCTATTGTTAACCTTCTACATAATATGGTAAACATGGGTAGTGTTTATGTAGGGGAAAATTTAATGTTAGCCTCACAATATAGAAAGGTATGTTTATTGAGGATTTAATATGAAAAAAAGTTAGATTGATTGATTTATTGGTGTTTAATGCTGCTTTAAGCACTCTTGGATATATTATGGCGAGCAGTTTTTATTGGTAGAGGAAGACGGTGAGAACCACAGGCCTTTGGTAGAAAACTGACAATCCTAGTCAATTAAGATAGTAGAACATACCTGCCATGAGCTAGTGATCATTATTTAGATCACTTGGCCTACCAGCCCCCTGAACAAAAAGAGAAGTGGGGTATGTGTCAATAAGGTAGCAACTCAATGATGCAGAAAATCAAAAGAAGGAAAGGGAAGCGAAATTCATTTTAGTCTAACAACATACAAATATATGCTGTACTGTGGAGATTATATTTTAAATTTGCAATTTTTGGGTAGAGATTGCATGTTATGCAATCAAAACCCTATGGTACTGACTTGATATTTTAATCTTCCAAGGTTTATCACTACTTTTGAGATGCACAAAATATAGTGCATTGATCATAACATTCTATACATGCTATCCATGAACATTTCCAGAAATTTATCAATGAAATATATGCTCTTGACATTCAAGTTACAAAATGATTTTATACTTGTCAAGAAAATTACATAACTTGTGCAAGATGCAGGAAACTATCTGTTCTAAAAACATCAATGATGTCATTGTTAAAGTAATCTTTAAAATTGGAGTTATCTTCCTCTGTCCATAATTGTACTTTATAAAATGCAGTGTTTAGTTTCACTTCCCACGGATGATTATATATAAATTAAAGCAATCTTTACCCTTCAGTGCTCACAAGCACTTTGATTATGAGGTTGACATTTGTGTAGGATAGAGGCATATGAGTTATATTTTTATTGATTAAAGACATAGCAAATACATATGAGGATAAAATAGAAATGTCATACTACATTGCTGCTTCTCCACTAAGCACCCGGAACTCAGGAGTAAAAGCAAAATCTGGTCAACTAGAGAGTCAGAAGAATGTGTCTGGTAGGGTGACATGTCTTCGTGGAGACTGTTACCTTTTGAGCTAGCGCATTAAAAATATGTCTCAGTGTGCCAGTCTAGCAAAAAAAAGGTTTCATATAAATTTCACATTACCATATCCTAGTCCTGATATGCATGTAATATTTACCGCTGGATGTTGTACACCGATCAGTCATTGTCATATTACATAAGTATTTGATTGTCAAGAGTATTTCATTCATAGCTATATTATGTTTTTATGCCCCCTTTAGGGTCATTATATTTTTCGGTCTGTGTGTCAGTTCGTCCGTCCCTCTGTCCCACTTCAGGTTAAATTTTGTGGTCGCTTCAGGTTAAAGTTTTTGGTCAAGGTAGTTTTTAATGAAGTTGAAGTTCAATCAACTTGAAACTTAGTACATATGTTCCCTATGATATGATCTTTCTAATTTTAATGCCAAATTAGAGTTTTGACCCCAATTTCACAGTCCACTGAACATAGAAAATGAAAGTGCAAGTGGGGCATCTGTGTACTATGGAAACATTCTTGTTTCCTTCATTGATAAACTTGATTTTTCTTTACAGCATTTATTATCACCTGAACAAATGTCTCCTCCAAAGAAAATGATTGAGTTTTCAAGAAAACATCAAGAAGATACAATAGTACATCATATGAAAGAAGAGGTTGACCATTTGAAACGGGACCAAGTTGATTTGGAGGTATGGCTATTGATTTTGTATTGATCAGGGCTCCAAATTATATTTTAGTGGATTATGTCAATGTCAAATTGACAAAAAGACAAAATTACATTAGGGATGCAAAAGTTGAAATTAAGAAAAAAAAAATTGATTTTGGAAGTTACACCCATTCAAATAAGCATCTACAGAAATATGCAATTCAAGCAATTACTTTTTGAAATATAAAAATTTTGTATTTGAAATTTAAATATAAATCAAATTGGGAAGAAGGAGACGTGTAAGTCTTCAGATACAATGTATTAAACAAGCAACAAGATGTGTTTATATTATTAAAGGGAAATAACTCACCTTCATCAACTTCTCTTGGTTTCAATGCTATAGGCCTGTCTTAATTTTGAAACTGTTAATCAGTTGGAATATTTAGTGTTTCTTTTTAATATATCTAACTGATATTGTGTTTTTAGGAGAAATTAGAAAGATTATATGAACTTGACAGACTTCTACAGGAACAGTCATATAAAGTCACAGCATTCCAAGAGGATAAGGTTAGTATGACTGTTGCCTTCTGATACAAATAATACAAATTGGTGTTCGTGATTCTGTATTACAGTAAGCCATTTAATGATAACTTGGTAGCATGTTCAATGATGATTTGTACAAAATAGATGCATTATTTTCTTGAAAAACTAATGAGAAAATATGCCATACTTGGTATGCATTTAGATTTACATTAAACACATATTTATGATTTATGATGGGAATCTTGAATTATATATTTTCCACAGAACCATGGAAGCAGTATGTAAGTTCTTGATATGAATGAAGTTCTTGTTTCAAAATTCCAATAGGGAACACATATTACTGTAAATTCAGAAATTATTGCGAGGTTTTTATTAATGCGAATAATGCGACTGGGTGACTATCGCAAAAATAAGAACTTGTATTCTGATGTCTGTTACATATATCTGTATGCAGATTTTCATGACATCGCAATAATTAAACTCGCATTTTTGTTCATTCTTGAAAAATGGCAATAATAAATGCACGCAATAATTTCTGAATTTACAGTATATTATTGTAGTAAATAATCCATTTTGTAAGACGTTTCGGCCACTGGCCTTCTTCAGTTTCTATATTAAATTATATTAGAAGGATAATAAAGAAAATGAAGACGGCCAGTGGCCGAAACGTCTTACAAAATGATTTATTTACTACAATAATATGAATGAAGTTGTTAAAAAAAACAAACAAAAATATAGAATGAACAAAAACGTACAGTTGTCAAATTTTTTTAAACAGACACTGATTTTAAAAATGACATTCTAACTTTAGTTAGCCTGAACCAAATGCTATAAAACGTATTCTCAATGCTTATTGCCACCAAACACAGATGAAGTTCTAATTTGGGAGGTGTCCCTTTGCCAGTTTTGGGTTATGTTCCTTTGTAAATTAAAGAAATTGCAGAATTTGCCTTATATTTACAAGCTTGGGCATCTGTGTCCAGTTTATTGTTTGTGCTTTTAGAAGTAGGATACAACTTATTTCTAAATGCATTTTATCTTTAAATATTTATCTATTTGTAAAGAATTACTTGTGTTTTGCAGGATCTACTAGAGAAGGCATTACAAGGATTATTAAGACAACAGGATATGGTACAAGATAGTTCTCATGAATTGCATCATCTTATTAAACAACAGAGAACTGTAGAGAAAGAATTATCAAGAGTTTTATATCATTTAGCTGAGGCATCTAAGGTAATGGCTTTAATCATAAAAAAATGAAAGAGAAGAAAAAATTAATAATCATCATTGCATATGCAAAAAATACTTTGTGATTCTCATAAATTAAGATATTCTTATTATGAAAAAAATATTAATACTTGTACATTCAACAAATTCAAGGTAAGACATTGCAGTTAGCACATATATTTCAAATGACTGGTAATCTCAATTATACAGCATAAAGAGTAATGGAGATTATTTGTAAAAAAAGAACATTTGTTTTCAATCAAGAATAAATCTTTGAAGCTTAAATTTTGAGGATTTATATTTTAGGAATTAGAAGAAACGTCAGCTGAAAATAACAAGGTGGAACATGAAGTAGCTTTACTGAGGTCAAAAGTTCATGGGGAATTGGCCAGGAGTAAGAGTGCTCCTTCTCTTGTAAGTTTTATTAACTTCAGCTTTGATCTGAACAAGTAGTTATCATTGCTAACCAATAAGAAAGGTGGATTGTAAATTATATCATCATTATTGTAACACTAAACTGATCGAGGTAAAGATGCCTGTTTTTATCTAGCTTTTAGATATAAACTGACTTTTGTTGAGTAGTGGATATTTATATACTAAGAATTATTTATGATATTTTTTGGTACATCCAGCACCTTTCAGCATCATTGAGGGAAGCAGTTTCATATTAAAAAGGAATAAATGTCAATGAGACAACAACTGAACAATGCAATAAAACAAAAATGGAACTTCAATATATTATTATATCCCTGCTTTAATGATGTGAGGAAACAGTGAAGCACATGTCCCTCACAATTTTGGTTTCTGTATATAAATTATGACTTGATTGAATCTTTTTAAATTTGAACACAATATCATTGACCATAAAATACAGGACAAGTTAAATATTGATGATTTTGAAATTTACAGTTTATATTTAATTTACAGAAATTGAATCACATAGATTATTTTATCTTTTTTACAGGTTAATGAAAATATGAGAAAAAAGATGACAATGGAGAAAGATCTGGCAAAAGTGAAAAACATTATGGCTGGGTTATCAGAAGAAGGTCAAAGGTTATCTGAAGCTATAAATACTCTGAAAAGATCCTCATCTGGTGGTGCTCTTAATCTGGTCAATGGTGAGGACAAGCCAAGAAAGAAAGAGAAGACTGGAACTTACATGGAAACTGACCTTGACACTACAGAATCCAAAGACTTGTCACAGGTCAAGGCCATTCTGTCTCAAAGGTCACTAACCTCAGTTCCTGATGATATGAATATTAATGTTGAAACAGCTATTTCTCCCAAGTCTGTTGATTTCATTGAGTCACAGGTAAAGATATAAGTAATATGTTAAATTTTGTTTTTGGCATCAGATTTAGGAAATTGTTACTTAGGTGTATGATATGTATTACTTCGAATAATAGATTAAGTGTACATTGTATTACTATACATCATTTAGCTTGATATTTTAAAGGTTTTCAATAATTGATAGTTGTATGAATTTGATAGTTAAATGCATATTCAAAACTCTAAAGTTATATAACATATGGCATTATTAAGCTCTGTTACTCATTAAATCAGAGCATTATAATTCATTTGTGTTTTTTTTTTCTTTTTTTGTTAATTCTGAGTCAATTATTAAAAACAATACATTAGATTAAATGAATACTGATCATGAACATTCCCTTTTTTCACCAGGCTCCCCAACCATTGGAATCAATGGCATTTAACCAGGAAGAAGGACCATGGGATATCAGTGATGCTGATGAAAATACAAAGAGATTTTATGGTAATTTCTTTGTTTATCAAGTAATTTTTGGCATGGGTTATCTAATGGATTTTTTTTTTTCAAATAATTTTAAGTTTTTATTTTATAAATAAAATTCAAGATTAACACATGCCAAGTTGAATTACTCTAATCCCACCTAATTGACCATCAAAACTGACAAGCTATTGTGAATTTGTGCTATTTGATCAAAATCTTACTCACTTGGGAAAAGATAAAGTTGTGAAAAATGTCATCTGTGAGTTAAATTGAGTGATAAGTTGGGAACAAATAATACTTCTTACATATTTTATACATGCTGAAATTGAAGTTTGTATCTTTATTTACTTACAAACTAACCAAAAATAGAATCTAAGAATAAAATTAATTTTAAGAAGAATTTATGCAAATACTGTCAGATTGATAAGGTCAAAATGTATTTTATGGCTTATGTGAACAAAATTTGTTATGAAGCAATATTGAATTGCAAACATTTTGTCTATAAGCAAATGTAATAATAGAGTCATAGAATATATAATTTTATTCAAATAGTAGTTGTTCCATTTTCACTTTTAGAGATAAAAGACAACATTTTACTTGAAGTTATAGTTAATTTTAATACAAATGAAGAAGAATTTCTGTAAAAGATAATTACATGTTTAATATAGAAGTATAGATAATATTTAAAGTTGTCTTGTACTTGTCTCTAAATGAAAAATGGAACAGCTTCTATACAATTCATTTCATTCACTCATATTTCTTGGAAGTTGGACATACCATTTTTAACAAAGCTTTAAATGTGATAATTTGCCAATATCTGATAGATTGTGTTCACAGTGGTAAAATGTATTACTTTTCAGTTTTATTTGAAGCCAATGCAGATTGTTTGAGTTGAAGAGAAAATCATGATTTACAATATTAATTAAAAAAAAATGACTTAACATACTGTATGATTCCAGTTAATGTTATGCTGACAAATTAAAACTCTTAGATTTATTATTGATTATTTATATTATAAAATTGAATGATGTACTTTTCTAGATGAAATAATGCTATACCCAAGAAGGAATAAGGTGAAATGAATGCAATATTGCCTTATTCAGATACATTTGCAGTAAATTCAAAAAAATTTTGTGAAGTTTTCATTATTGCGAAAATTGCAGCATAATAGGTACATCCTCTTCATTTGATCTTTGGTGGATAAATGTCTCATTGGCGATCATACCACATCTCCTTATTTTTATATAGAAAAAATAAAAAAACTTCCATTTTGAATTTCAAAAACATTTATTTTATGCACTATTTACTTGACTCGCAAAAAATATTAACACACTTTTGTCCATTCTTTAAAAATCGCAATAATATATTAGGCAAAAATTTCTGAATTTACAATATATTGTAATGTTTCATAAAAAAATATGGAAAATGTTGCATTTGTTTCATTGAAGTTCTTATAGAATATGCTTTAATATATATCGTAAAAGGATAAAAAACATGAAAATTATATCATGTTGATACATTTTAAATTATGATTAAAGATTAAATATTCAATATTAAATATTCAATATTAAAATTAAATTGGAAATTTTAATTAAGCAAAGAAATTATTTCAGACAACTATTGAAATCATTAAGGTAAAATATGAAATTGGTTTGTCTGTAACTCCTGTTCGCTATAGTAGTTTAGATCTTTAGATGTTTAGTCTGTGTGATAGCCTGCTTTGAGAGGACAAAAACTCTTAACACCCACAAATCATTCTTCAAACACTATCTTAAACAGAGTCGAACATTTTAAACCATTTTTTTAGACACATAGGTTCATGTAGTCCTCTTCAACACAGGTTTTTTTGCTTGAGGTGTACGGAAGGCCCTGTCCAATTGACATTTTATTTTGCTTTGAAAATAGGTATTCTCCCTAAAGAAAGACCAAAAACATTGACAGTACGGGATGTTAAACGTCAAAGTGAACAAAGACGAGAAAGGGAAAAAATCAGAAAAGAAATTGATGAATTGGATTCTGAAGGTATATGGTTGTTGTGTGTGTTTGACAATTGTTGTTTAAGAGTGCTCAGCATGTCTTGCTTAAAATTGAGTGTATTCCATCACCAATTATATAAATCATTTGTACAGAAATTGTAAATTGTTCAATTTTGACCATGGATTTTGATTGAGAATTTTTTTTCAGCTAGGGTGTACCATTTTAAGTTCAAATACACAATCTATCAGGTTTCTTTAAAAATTCCTTAATTTTTCCTAATTAATAAATCATCATCATGCATTGTTTTTGATATGTATAATATTTTTTATGATTGTGCAAATTAAGTTTTATGATTTTATTACAAACTTAATTTGCACAATGTGGAGGGTTTTTAGTTGGAGTATTTATGTTCAGTTATCTAATTGCATGTCACACAGTTATATAGAAGTCATGAAGACTATAGATCATAATCGTTATGTTGAACACTGTTTTGTGTAAATATATGTGTAAAACTGTCTTGTTTAAGTTAACATAATTATAGATTTTAATATGTTTTATGCATGACACATCAAATTACCATTATATCTAAAATGCACACATACTAGTCCTTTGTAATCAATATGATCTGTCATATCAATGTTTATGAACTTTCTTTGAGATAGCAGAACTCAAAATAGTTTGTTTAAAACTTATAACAATTGGTAAACTAGTTGACAAGTCCTAGACTAATCTGTTGATTGTTGTTAACCTCTGTATTCACAGTTTGAATAATTGTTTTTTGCCATGAGTAGAATTTTCCACTGGATTTTATGTTTACATTTAACCATTAGGCAATATTAATGAAGAATACACCATAAGTTTTTTGAGGACATAGCAAAAATTTTTTTGAACTAAATCAAAATTAATGTACCGGGTATTGAATTTATCATGTGAAAAATACAGCAGCCGTGATATCTATGGGTGCCCAACCCTAAGTGCGACGGCATGGGTTCAAGCCCAAATTTATATTTGCGGCTTCTCTGATAAGAAAAAAGCAGGAGTAAGTAAGAGCAAAGACTAAGAAGATTAAAGTGTCCAGGTAGGGTGACATGTCTTGTTGCAGTCTTTGACCTTGTAAACTAGCATATTGAAAATTGATGTTTAACAGCCACCCATCATCAGCTTCATCATCATCATGTAAAAAATGCATGTCGATGCATGTGATTGACCTCAGCATTCTGTGTGCCTCCCACCTTTGTTTTGTACCAATCATTTATTGTATTCTGAAGATCTGAATCAAAATCATGCTAAAATAATGTATGAATGAACACTGCTTAGAAGTACAGTTTGCATGTTGGATTCTTGGGGAATAGGTAGCAATATTTTGTATCAGTTTAATATGAATAGATTGCAAAACTTAATTAAAGAGGTAATCTGACTTTTTAGAATTGACTGTTATCTTTTTATGTAAATACTTTATTGAAATGGTTTATGTAAGCACATGACATGTATTGATAGATAGCTATAAAGTACACTACAGTTTCATCAGTTTACTCTTTCTTGTAAGGTGTTAGTTTAAGTTAAAGAGCTCATGTAAAAGGGCATCCTTAAAGTCTGTCATTTACTTCTTGAAATAACCAGGATTGATTTAATTTCAGATCCTAGTTGGGCCAGTTCTACAGTGAGTCCAAAACAGGTAGCTAACAGAATAATTTCTTAAATTGAAGACATTCAAAAAGGACTTTTCAATTGTTTTTCAAGTTTATATCAATTGTTTTTCAAGTTTATATCAGTATCTTGTGCTATTCAGAATATGATTTGAAAGTCTTTATTTAAACTGTGATTTCTTAAAAAGAGTATATATCCTGCTTTCACCAGGTTAACCCCCAATAGAAAGTTAAATCATTTTCATTTTTAAGTTTCTTTTTACATTCAGTTATTAAAGTTTTCAAATTAATTACATTAATTATGCATATCACATTTTTATTTTCAGGAGTATCAACCTATATATGAAAATCTTCCACCAGCAAACAATGTCCCAAAGACGTGGTCTTCCGTTAATATTGGCGGAAGTAGTAGCAATAACTCATCAAGCACACCCTCCAGAAGAACATCAAATTTACATCTCATAGCTCCTAGACCATTTGTCAGATCATACCCTTCACCGACTGCTGAATCATCAGAAATATTGCCATCAAAATCATTTAATTTTTCAAGTGGACTATCATTCAATGACAGTGGTGTTGTCAAGGCGACAAGGGTCATAGTGCAACCAGGTGACGATTCTAAAACTGCCACATCACCACTGAGTCCTTCAAGGTCGCAGCCCATCGTTAAAGGATGGTCTCCGGTGAAAACTAATTTATTCAATGTGAAACGGACTCCTAAAGGGAGGTATATGACAATATCAAGTAGTGAGCCTGTGAAGATGGAAACGTCACTCTTACAACCAGCATCATTACATTCTGTAGCAGGGGACCTAATGACCAATAACAATGTAAGTACGGGAAAATCTTATCTGAAATGATGATCATAGCTTTTGGTGGTACAATTACTTGATCTTTGTGTTACAATACATGGTAATTTCAGGAAGGTGTATGAATAAAAAACAGGGATAAAAGATTTCTGCTTTTACAAAAATAAAAAAAAAATTTTGAAATTATAAATGAAATGAAATTTTGTACTGTTTTTGATTGGCAGTATATGCTTTAAGATACTGAATCATTTTAATATTGAAAAGAAAAGTGAGAAAAAAGATTGCAGAATGATGGTAGGACAAATGGGGTGCTTCCCAATATTTTAAAAGCTAACTACTATTTTAATTTAAGATGTATATACATTTTTATAAAAACGGATATGTGTAAGTATGTGTGAAGTTGTGTTAGATTAGCAAATAACATGAAACATGTATCAATAAACAGTTGATCTGTTATGTATGGTTTGCAGATGTTGTTTTTACTTTTCTTTCCTTTACATCAATATATACTTTAAAATGTCTTATTGAGAAACTGGAGTCATCATATTTACACACCATTTAAATTTACTATTGGAAATTGATCATGTGAGTAACAATCAGCATATTAAAATTGTACTCTTATTCTCTTGGTTAAATTGAATCCTTTTCTATTGTCAGTAATTATTTGACAGAAGTTTTATTTAGTCATGGGAAACTTAAATTCAGTAGAATATCTCTTTAAATTACTGACAATGACAAAGTTGTTCAATCTTACAGTAGTATCAATGTTTGCTTTGAATTCGGATGTTAAAACCAATGCTAAAATAAGGAGAATCTGACGCTCTGTACCTGAAAAGAACTCTTGCATCAACTCCATGAGGGTTTCATATTATTAAAAGGAGGCAAATTGCTGCCATTATTTATTATACTATTTTGTCACCTGTGACAGTCCAAATTTCTAGTCAAGGATTCCGGTGAACCCTCTGTACACAACTAACCCCCTGTACACAGCTTTCATATTATTTGATTAATAGTATAGTTTCTTCTTGTCTAGAATAAACATGAAATATTTGTCACTGGAAAATGACAACCAAGAACTACTCAATATAATCTATTGGGGAAAAGTACAAACCCATCCCTAAATAAGTAATCAGATAATGATTATTCAATGGTATATTTAAATGTGGTGTAGTTTACGATATCATTTCCTTCCATAGTGTTTCAAAGTCATATTCTCGTTTATTTTTGTTTGTAGAAACATAACATGTAAGTTCTCTGTGTATGTATACTCAGAATAAAACCAATAATCTTCATACAAAAGGCCTCTCATTGTCGTATCAACAACACTAAATCTGTATGCACATGTTGTAAAAACATTTCTCACCCAAAAAGAATGTATTTGGAAGCATCCGTGTGTTTTTTGCATGCAGAATTACAAGTTTTGTAAGACATGAACACCTATTATTTCAATCAGAAAATTCAAGTTATGTATTAATATTATATGTATTAAAAGGACATTATTAATTTTAATCATAAAATATAAACACACTTTATGCATACATGAGTAACTGTATAACAAATGCATATATCCAAGACATCATTTTTGTTGAGCCTGCAACTTTTGTTGCAGAAAGCTTGACATAGGGATAGTGATATGGCGGCGGCGTTAGCTAACTTCTTAAAAGCTTTATATTTTTGAAGCTAGAAGACCTGGATGCTTCATACTTTGTATATAGATGCCTTATGTTACCAAGTTTTCGTCTGTCATATGTCCATTGTCCTTGACCTCATTTTCATGGTTCAGTGACTACTTGAAAAAAAAAGTCAACATTTTTTGTAATGTTAATTTCTTTCTTATTATGAGTAATAGGATAACTATATTTAGTATGTGCGTATCTTGCAATGTCCTCATGCACATCAGACAATTTTCATTTGACCTCGACCTCATTTCATGGATCAGTGAACAAGGTTAAGTTTTCGTGCCAAGTCCATATATCAGATAATATAAGCAGTAGGTGTACTACTATATTTGGTATATATATATGGAATGATTGTAAGGTGTACATGTCCAACTGGTTGGTGTCATCTGACCTTGACCTCATTTTCATGGTTGAGTGGTCAAAGTTAAGTTTTTGAGTTTTGGTCTTTTTTTCTAATACTATATGCAATAGGTCAACTATATTTGGTGTATGGAAATATTTTATGATGAACATGTCAGTCTCGCAGGTTTTATTTGACCTTGACCTCATTTTCACGGTTCATTTCTCAGTGTTAAGTTTTTGTGTTTTGGTCTGTTTTTAATCAACTATAAGCATTAGATCAACTATATTTGTTGTATGGAAGTATTGCAAGGTGTATATGTCTGTCTGGCAGGTATCATCTGACCTTGACATCATTTTCATGGTTCATTGGTCAATGTTAAGTTTTCATGGTTAAGTTTGTTTCTTAGATACTATAAGCAATAGGTCAACTATATTTAATGCATGAATTGATTGTAAGGTGTACATGTCTGTCTGGCATGGTTCATCTGACCTTGACCTCATTTTCATGGTTCATTGGTCAATGTTAAGTTTTCTTGGTTAAGACTGTTTCTTAGAAACTATAAGCAATAGCTAGGTCAACTATGTTTTGGTTTATTGAATGATTGTAAGGTGTACATGTATTTCTCGTTTGGTTTATCTGACCTTGACCTCATTTTCTTGGATCACGTTAAGTTTATGTGTTACTTGTAGAAAAGCTTAATGTTAAGTTTTCTTGGTTGAGACTGTTTCTTAGAAACTGTAAGCAATAGGTCAACTATGTTTGGTTTATTGAATGATTGTAAGGTGTACATGTATTTCTCGTTTGGTTTATCTGACCTTGACCTCATTTTCTTGGATCATGTTAAGTTTATGTGTTACTTGTAGTAAAGCTTTATATTTAGGACTATCAACATAAAATCAATGGTTAGTAAAGAAGGCGAGACACTTCAGCGTGTGCACTCTTGTTGAATTAAGTCTTTATCATGTTTCTTTTTAAACTAATTACTGTTTAGTTATTTCAAACTGCAGATTGTTTAATGTTAAACACAGTTTTCCATATATTATTCCTTTAAATTCCTAATAAAAAACTGTAAAGTGACAGGTTTTAGTTTAATCATCAAAGTTTTGATATATTCATTGATTGAGAAGTTGTCTATCTTTTCCCAATTATAGGAAAAGTAGATATAAGTTTCAGCCTTCTGGCTTGTAAATTTTTGAATTAAGTCCTTTTTTTCTTTGAAATCTATTGATTTCATCTCTGAGTGTTGAATTAAAATAAATAATAATTTTTTCTATTTAAGCCTCCTTTATTTCCCCAAAACTTAATTGCTAATGAATAGTAAAATTTGATATCAAGAGACATATATGAACTCATAACACATTTAGTATTTACCTTCCATTTATCGAATGTTTTTTATACAAAAAATGTTTCATGACAAAAAAAATACTATTTATTTCAACATTAGATAGTATGCGATCAATTTTCTCTTCGTTTTTTTGGTTGGAAATTAGATTAGTCTTAAAGAAATAAGACTTTTTGTCTTAAAAAAAAAAAGGTTTGTGTTTCACAGAAATGAATTATTTGTATATTATTGAAGTAATAAGATTTATTTAAATATTTTAACAGTTAGATATGGTACCAGATATAGTAAAGAGTTCTACCACAAAAGTAGACCAGATGGACGAAGTGTCTTTCGAACGAGAAGTTGTAAGTTACTATGAATAGAATGCAGCCTTCTGTTTCATAATACACCACATGGTCACTTAAACAAACCAGGACACTAGTATAAAAGTAAAACTTCACTTACATCTGTACTGTTTTGTAAGCTTTGAATACAAGTCTCAAAAAAAAAAAAAACATGGACGAGAATGCAGCAACCTCTTAACTATATTTAGTGTAAACCTATTTTATTAACTATATTTCTTACTTGAAACAGGCATGTGTACATCTAGTTTTGATAATACTTAATTAACACCATTACTGGACATCACAGACATTTCTGTAAAATTTTTGCATGATAAGAGAAAATTGCTGACTCCACAGAACAAAAGTGATTGTTGTATATTGTCAAAAGGTTGTATATCACCAAAAAATTCGAAATAGATATAAGATCTATTGGATTTATATTTTATATCTTCTTATAAGCTTTAAAATGCGAACATTGTTTTGTCTGTAGTAGATGAGGATAGAACAATTAAGCTGTCTTATAGATCATCTATTCATAATTACAGGAATATACATTTGATAATCTATTAAACATCATTATCAAATAAGTAAATTTTTAATAATTACAGTTAGCTTTTCCTAACAAAGTTGAGATTCCAGAAAGGTATATGCCAGAATCTGATGAGGAATCATTTACAGAAGAAGAAAAGTATAGGCGCCAAGAAAAATCTGATAGGCTGAAAAAAATTCTTACACAGCAAAGGTAAATATTTAAAAAGTTAGACGATAAGAAAATTGGTAATAAGTGTGATTTGAATAACTAGACATTTTTCACTCGTTTTGTCATCTTATTGTCATTGATAAAGCAGATAATACATCACATGATGATTGATTAATTATTGGTGTTTATCGCCACCAACAGCACTATTGGCTACTTTGTCACAGTCAGTTTTTAAGGTGGAGGAAGCTTACACATGGGGACAAATAGATCACAGTATCATGAGACTACTGTATGGTCTACAACAGAAATTTGATAGCAGCACTAAAAAGCTAGCTCAAGAAGTTCTTACAGGTCTAGTTTCTAAATAACAGCACAAACCACAGTTGTTTAAAGTATACTGACTGGACGACCACAGTGAGAAATGGGAAACTAGATACCAGTGCAATACTGAGACTCTTGATACAGAGATTTCATCTTGTTTTTCTTTACATTGATATATTTTTTCTTATCTTTTAAACTTTCAATGGATTAAAAAATGCTGTAAATTCACAGGACATTTCGTGGTAAACTTGTAAAGTTGGTTTGACTCTTTTTTATTTCAGTATTCATTCATTGTCTCAGCCTGATGTTAGTAATGTAGCTCAAGAGAAAGTCAGAAGAGCTCAGTTGTTAACCATGAACCAAGAATTAGCCAGACAAGTCACCAAAAAGTCTAGAGAGGCTGCAGGTATGTCAACACTTATACCAAGAGTCTGTCTTGAATGTCTTCTTGTTTATAGTATTATATGAAAATATATTCAGTAATTATATGTTGGTCTTTTCTGTCTGTCTGTTTCATGTGCATTGTGCTTTCAGTTGACTTTTTTCATGTAGCATACAATTATAGTTATCCTCTCAAACAGATAATCAAATCTCGTAAAAATTGACTTTTTCTATTATATATTAAAGAAATATTTTACATGGATGTTTTATCTGTGCATGATAGAATGAATATTGGTCAGGTTAAGTGTATTTTAGTCTAACTTTAAAAATAAAGAAACAATTTGAGAACTTAAGAACAATTTCAAAATAGATACTTCTTAAAACTAAAATGATATGAAAATATTTGGGTTTTTATAGAAGACTAATAGGTCTTTGACAAAGGTAGGTCCTGAAACTGTGTAATGCAGGCACTTGTAGGGATTTGTGATTTTTATCCTACAAGGTCTGTTGAATGCATTTATTCAGAGCTAATCTTTACAATTTAATATGTAATACTTTGTGATGTGTATTTGTGCTTTAATTATATAGAGTGGTCTCATTAAGGTAGGTGCATTAATGCTGAGGCAGCACTTTTCAGGTGCTTCTCTTCTTGTATGCTTGTTATTTATTATTGAATTGGAATGAATGTAGATATTATATATATGTATAAACTTGATGCAAACAATTTTATGGTTACCATGGAAAAGTTTTTTTTGTAGTGAGCTAGAGCTAGATTATTTACAAAGATTTTTTTTTTTAAATAAATTAGATCTGGGTGGTTTGGCAAGATCAGCTTTGTTCAGAAGATTGAAAGCTTGTGGGTTTGTTTGCAAGTTTGATTAAGAAAAATGGACTTTGTGTTGGTTGTTTGCAAATTGTTTATAAATATAAATCTTATGGTAAATGCAATATGAATTTGGTACTAACAAAGTTTCTATACTGGCAGGATTTGTTGAAATAACTTTTTCAAGTTAATAAAAACATTTTTTAAGATAACAGGACAATCAAAACTAGTTAAAACTGGTTATATTCTTATAATATTATATGACACAAGTCCAGAATAAGTTTTGAAAATGAAAATTGATAGAAGGGGAAAGATTTATAGGAGATGACTTTAAAAAACTGTAAACCAACTTCTTTTTGCAGATTCTTTATTTCTGGTTTAAACTTTTGTAGCCCACTTCGAGACAATTTAATTTACCGATTTTCAAATTTCTTTGATGTTAAATAAGGATCTAAGTTTTACATATTTGAGACAATTTATATTCATGTTTTTTTTTTTTCAATGCAAAAATAATTTGATTTACAGTAATGAAAAAGTTAAGTAAAGATTAGCTTGTATTTTGTATTGACTAATACATTTAATTAGCCATGTTGCTTATTGAATGAAACATTTTACCAAAAATTAAATGTGACTTACTGTGGACTTGCTGTATATTATCTATTTTATAGAAATATTTTTATATTTCAATATTAAGCATGGAAACAATAAACAATTTTACTAATTTTGTAACAACAATATACAACATTAAATGCAGAGTAAAAAAATCTGTATAAACACTTACTTTTCCTAGGTTTTTGATTTTGTCCTGTTACTTTGGTACTAAAGATCATGTTCTATGCATTTAATTTGAGGAAGAAATGAAAAAAACTTGTCTGAAAACTCGAATCTCTTTCAACTTATTCAAGTTAAAAAATGTCTTAAAGATTACACATAGTGTATATTCCAAATTTCATGCATGGAAATGTTCTTATAAGTTCTTGATATGGATTGAATGCTGCTGAAGGGTTTATTATAAAACATTCACTTGATTTATGGAATGAAAACACTGCTGACACCTAGTGTGGGAAGGCCAGCACCATTTAGTGTAGATTTACAGATTCTGAATAATGTTACAGTATACCACTGTTTTGGAAATATTTTAGAAATCTATTTTAATAAATTGGATAATGTGTATATGTCCATATAAGATGATTGATCTATAATGATAATTGAAATCTATGTAGGAAGGGGTACATCAGTTTCTTGAAATACTGTCAAACTGTTTTTGAGAAACCACCCTGTCTTTTTTTATATAATAAATAGTTCCTTAAAATAGTGGTCTTTCAAAAGGAGTGATTTCTCAATGAAATTGTGTCTCAAGACATAATTCATAACCACTTTACTTTAAAATAGGCAGAGTTGTATAGTTTAAGATCTTTCCTATTAAGAGTTTAAAAATCAAGAAATTTAACACAATTTACATGAAAAAACATCAATAATTTAGAGGGAAACAACCAATAATTAAAATACCCATAATGCAATCAATGCAAATTAAATGTAACTATTAAGTTGGATAGTCAGTGTCATCTAATCTATATAAAAAAGACATTTTGCTTATTGAATGTTTTGTCATTTAATTTGATTTACTGTGACTTGACTGTAAGTGTAAAATTTTTATAGCAATTCAAAAATTACTACCCATCACTTTTAGCATGACAATTACAAAACAAATTGTATAGAAATTGTTAGACTGATTTTTCATCATATCAATGAAGTGAAATTAAAGTCTTATAGGATTGTAAGTATGCTTTATTTTATCACCTTGCACTTTCACCGTGTTTTTCTACAGTAGTTTGTTAAAATTTCTGACCAGTTGAACAGTTTGGTTTGATAAAATTAATTGCAATTTGGTCGGAAAATAAAATAAACTGCAATAGGTGGAGAGCAACACTTACAGTCAAGTCAGAGTAAAGTCATACTGATTGCTATTTGTCCATCTTGTAATCAATGTCACCCTATTTTTCAGCTGCTAGGAGGAAAACATGGTCTGGAATTCCAGGACAGATTATTGTTCCTGATACTGAAGATTCCATTGTCAAGGAAGCTGAACTTACTGATATGGAAAAATACCAACGACAAGAAAACTTATACATTTAAAAAAAACTTTCAAAATATCTTTGAGGCCAGTATTAAAAGATGTAAATCATGTAAAGGTTCTTTATTGTTTTACACCTAGCTATTAACAGAATTTCGTACTAGGTGAAGGAGCTGGATGTCCGAAACAAAACACGATTAACAGTATTCAAATGTGTCCGTTCATTATGTATTAAATAATGAGAATTGAAATTTTGCATAATATTTGCTAACACATATCATAATTATTCAAATATTTTCATTTTATTTATTGAACTAGCCTTTAATTATCAACAAATTTCATTGACAAGATTGACTAAATATGGCTTAAAAAATGCTACCTCGATCATTTAAAAAATTTAAGGGTAGATATGGAATAATAAAGCAACAACTGATTCAAACTCATTTTATAATTATTAATTCAGCAAGGAGAATGTGTTCAATGTTCATAACTCAACAAAGATGGTAAACTGTAATAAAAATCCATTTAATAGATGTTTTATTATATTTATTGGTGAATATTTGAATAATGTATTCTCATGATAAATTAGGGCTTGTTATTAAACAGACTTTTTATATGTAGTTAGAGAAAAGTTATTTGTTAACATTTTCATTGTTTATAAATTGTTTAGCTGCCATTTTCAAGTTAAGTTTTTGCTACTCTTAGTTATGCACAAAATGTGAACTTTCAGTAGTATGATATGTACTGGGCAATAATATTTTGCTGACTTTTTATGGATTGAATTTATTTCATTTGTCAATTTTCGTATTTTGTGGGAAAATGAAATATAGATCGTTTCTTAGCATTGTGATTTCGAACTTAAAAAAGAGGAATGAAAAGAAGAAAATCTTTATATTTCTCACTAGTTTTCAGGATTTAAAAGAATAATTTATATTCGTATATGACAAATGTCTAAAAGCTAAAAAAAAAATTTATATGAACTGAATTTATTTAAATGTAAGCACCATTGAATGTGAGAATCAAAGAAATATTTTATACGTCCTTTTCAGTATTGTGAACAAAGGTTACCTCTATTTAGCTTTAACCTCTGGAGCAATAATTTTACTTCAATGATATTAATAGACGAATAGTTTTGTGATATTTTGTATACAATGAACAAATATGTTGCTTAAACGAAACAATCTGTGATAATTGTTTTTTTTAATCGTTTTGGTATTTTATAATTAGATTATGGTTGTGTGCCACATTTTCTGTTTGAGTCTTTGCTTCCTGTAGTAATAATAAAGATGAACAAGAGTTGTACAAGATTTGTTTTTTTTTTCAGTGAAGAATTTGAAAAAAAGATTGATCTTTATATATGGATGAAATTAGGCATACATTTGTAGGTTTCTTTATAGTTGGTTCTTTTGACCTTTTATTGTCTTTTTTATTCACATTAAAAGTCTGGTTTAATCAACTGAAAAATTTATATGAAGTATTGTATGTTTCTTGCTTTATGAAAGGACAATTTAAGAAGGAGACAAATTATAGCTTTCTGTTAAGCTAGGCGAATTGCTGTATCAATGATATTATGTCATAATTACAGGTAGTCTAGCAGAAGTTGAGATGTAAGGTTAGTGATGGAACAACTAACGTTTTCTAAAATATATTTTATGGAAAAAGCTGTTTATATTATCGAATTTATATATCTGAATATTATATATTTCTGTTTAAAGTTTATTGTTATTTTTGTTATTATTTTTTTGTCCATAGATATGCAAGTTTTTATACTGTTTTTTTGAAAAATAATTTTTGATTATGTTTATAATAGTTAGTAGTGAAACAGCAATTGTATTATATTTTTGTAGGTCTCGGCTGAAATCTAGCTTTAGTGCTATTGTCAACAAGTTTGTTTAAAAGTCACCACTTACTTGAAAAATATATATTGAAAACGATTTTGCTGTTGAATTTATAATAACTCAGAACAGAAAATTTGATTTTGATTGATTAAGAGATCAGCATGAAATTACAAAAGTAATGTCATGCCTTTGGTAAATTTCAATTTCATTAGCCAAACTTTGGAAACAATATTGTATAAGTTGAATGCAGAACATTGTCAACATGTGAACGAATTCATTAACATCTAAAATGTTGAAAGCCTCATTGTGACTTTGAGAAGAAGCACAGCAATAAAAGTGCTGTTTATATGCTATGGGTTTTGTCATATACATGAAGGGATTATGTGTCATAATTAAATACACCATATCCCTTCTTTCTTTTGGTTTTATCATTATTATTGATACTCATAGCTTCTGAAACTATTTTAAACATCCTTGGTTGTAAATGTGAAACCAAGTGTTGTAAGATCAACAGTTCCAAATCTTAGGGTGTTTTATCTTTGTTATTGGCAATAAGTCATGTTTATAATGATGTGCTGTTAAAAAATTTCAAAACATATCTTTATGAAGTTTGTATTTGAATATAAATCATTTTGTATTGTTCAATTAATTTTTGTACATTCCTTTATTTTGTACAGTGTACAGTACATAATTTGTATATTTATATTTGTTCATTTAAAGATAATTATATCAAACTATAAGATTAAATATTATTTATATATAACTGGTGTTGTCAATTTATCTGTCTTTATATATGTAATTGGTTGTCTACTGTTCCGGTGCCAATAAGTCGTAAAGTTAATAGAGTAAAATATACCAAAATCTGGCCTTTTTATCTAGCTTTCGAAACCATGAAATACGGCTGCCATTATAAAGCCAAGGTTCCTGAAAGTTTCGTTAAACAACAAACAAAATTTTCATATCAATATTTAGCCAAAAACTGCAAGCTGTTTTTGGGAAGAGTTATAAAGCTATTCATTCTTTCAAGAAGAAAATTTCACTGCAGTGATAGGCATTTATATACTAAAACTAATATTCCTATTATACCAGTTTGACAAAAGGACTAGCAGGTTTCTGGAAAGAGATGTGTACTATTACTTTAAGATAAATTAAAATTTCTTGTGAATTTTAGTGATTTAATATGTCTTTTTAAATTAATTGCTAAAATTTGCTTATTTTCTTTTAAATGAATTATATCACTTTTTTGCAATGGTAAATGGTGAATCAAATAGGGTATGTATTGGAAATTGTTTCAAGGATTTCAATTTATTATTCGTCCACAATTTTGCTATTTGTGGCACTTGAAATTCCATAATTCTGGATCCAATAACAATGGAATTAAGACTCTCTGGACATAAAAGAACTTGCCACAACTCGAAGGGTCTGTATGTGGCCTATTGCATAGCAAAATTTCTGTCTATCCAACATGCCTCCATTTGCCAGCAATATTGGCTTTCCAAATTTCCCGGTAGTGATCCCAGCCAACCTTTTTGGCAGAACCTACCTATGATTTTGACTGTTAATAACCCGCGTTGTGAAAGGATCAAGGAGTGTAGTAAACTCTACAAATAAATACAGGTACCTAATTTGTGTTGTGCTAATCTTCAACAGTATTCAAACTTTGCACACATGCAAATTATAAATGTGGACCCTGTATGCTTATTTTTCTCTGGTTTCTGTTGTAAGGAACCTAGTCATTGTCGTGGTTGATTGCTATACAGTTACATAGTTTTGTGTTATGCGCAAATATAGGTCCAACAGCTTCAATTCAATATTATTCAAACTTTGCACAATTATTAAACTCATACTGATGATGTGCACCACAGTCCAATTGTTTGACTGATTTGAAATATTTTATTCCCAGATTTCCCATGTGTGGAACATAGTACAGGTTGAGTCGCCAACGATATAAAAGGTACATTGTTTGTGTCATGCGTAGCTTAAACAGGTTTCCTTCAACATACACTGCATCAGTGATTTCACTCGTATTGAAGCTGTGCGTCTCTTGGTTTGGGCAGATTTTAATTATTTATACACAGGTTTCCCATTTGTGGAAAGATAAGTATTTTGTCGTAGAATGCTTTAGAGTGTACCTACTTGTGGCATACGTAGCTCAAACGGTTTCCTTCAACAGTATTCAAAATTTGCACATGCAATGATTCCGCACATAATAAAGCTGTGCATTTTTTTAAAAACATGATTACCAAGTTTCCAATGTGTGAAACTAAGAAATTTTGTTACTGAATACTGCATGAGGTACATAGTTTGTGCTCTGTGTAACTGCATCAGTTTTCCATCATCTGTGTATTGAAGATAACTATAAAAAAAAAAATGATGCACCATAAAACTCTGGCTATAATTAGTTAAATCTTGCTTTAGTTCTAGAAAGGTAAAACCTTTTCTGTTTCTGAGAATTTTCTTAACTATCACAGGAACTTCCATATTCACGCATTTACTTGGTCGAACCTATACAATTGACAAGATTCTGATTTGAGAGTTTTCTCAATCTTTATGGCACTAAAGGTTGTTCTTCAAAACAGCACCACGAGACACAGGTTCAGACAATGTGTTGGTCTCAGTGTTCATTCTCGTCCTGAATATGCAGGAAATATTAGGCATTGGACGTTAAACAAGGAACAATCAACCTATCCTGCTTTCAATAACATTTGCAATTTACCTTATTTGACACAGCTTAGTGCTTAAAATATAAGGAAACTACACAGACATCACAACGGTTTTCTTTTTATAACTTCAAAGTAGCACAAAAAAGAAAATCATAGCATACTATCAATAATTGCTTATCTCAAAATGTGTCATTCCAAGCTGTCTTATATGCATTTTAATTATAAATCCTGGTATGTTTAATGAGATTTTACAAATGAGTCCACAAATGTGCTTCATATTCCCGATCCACTTCTCATTTTACTCTCCTGATTAGCGACCTAAAATTAAAAAAAACGGTATTATTTTTTTTTCTTCATGGTTATATCATAGTAATTGTTAGGTGGTAATGTTACTTTAAACACAAAGCTTTAAGTCAAGACCACTAGAACTAGAAAATCTTAAACAAAACATGTATTAATTGATATATCATAAGCACAATAAACATAATTCAGATTGGCTATCCTTTAACAGGACTGTCTATAAAGCGATTCAGTCTGCGACTTTGTTGTCTTTTTGCAATAGAGAAATGCTATTTAATTTTATATTCAAAAACTTCAGTTAGTTACATTAACATTATAAACTCATCATAGATACGAGAATTAAAATTTTGTACGCCAGATTTTGTCTACATAAGAAACGTTCGAACTATAAAAGTTAAAAGGCCAAATAAACTTCGAAGTTGAAAGCATTGATGACCGAAAATTCCGAAAGGTTTTGCCCCACATATGTCATATAGATTTTCGACCATTTAAACCAAACTTATAGGGTTAAGTTTAATTATCATGTTCCCTCCCCTAAGTCAGCATGCATGTATCATATCTGTCTTTAAGACGCCCAGATAAAAACACACACAAGCCTCTCCTTACCTGAGATATTTTCACACTGATAACTTAGAGACAGATACTTGTCCACATCGGTACACGGATTTCCAAATATTTTTGTTGAGGCAAAGACAGTACATTTTTGTCTCCAGTAGCAGTGAGAACGTAGCGTCTGCACAGCCCATGCCGTGTAACAATGTTGTTCAGCATGTCTTCCTCGACAATGTGTGGAATCCTTTCGTCCAAAATTAGCTTCAATAATTCTAATGATATATCCAACAGGGCATTTAATAGTCCATAACTGATTCTCACAAATATAAGCATGGTAAGTTGCTGAAAAGTATGTAAAACGATTAATAACTAAACATTTATCGATGACATTTTTGGAAACACAAAACTTTTTTTCGTACGCCTGAAAACCAAAGGATGTTTTTACCGTTTTTACACAGTCATATTATATGTTGCTGAAAAAAATAATGGAAGTTAGCTAAATTTGATCGATAGCTTACTGGGTTTTTATACCTTTTAACACAACTTATTAGAATGACTGCTTATGTTACGTCTATACCATGCAACTGCTGCCTGTTGAATTATGCTTCAAGTCAGAAATAATGCCTTACATTTCTTCTATACTCAGTTTTGAATCCTGTCTAAACTGAATGCTCTTCATAAGCATCATTGTTCCCTCCCAGATGTAATGAGCATCATTGTTCCCTCAGATGTAATGAGCTCATACTGTGTTTTTTCTGAGTAATGTTTTATAGAATTTTTTTTCCTTTCTCTTTGTGGTTTGTCTTTTTCGGTGTTATATTGCACTATTGGTATCTTCCTATCTATATTTGCTGCTCTGAATACAGTCTAGATACATTACATTTTATTTCTTTGTATTAAAGTTATAATCATATTCAATGCATATAGTGTAAAACAAGGTATTCATAATAAACACTGGAAGCTGTAGTTTGAATACTTACGGTCTAATTGACCTCTTTCATGAAAAGCGTTCCGTGCAATTGATGATTTTTCTTTGATTCCAACATTTTTCAATACCTGTAATAACCTTTCGTAGTTACTCGAGTCTGCACTTGATAACAAACATAACAGGATTAATATTAGCAGTTGCATTGCTATGTTAATCAGTATACGACCTGCAATTAAAAAAGAAAGATATATGAAAAGGTTGCTACATCTACCACAAATTGCAAAAATTGCTTCAGTTATTGCAATTATATAAATGATTCTTTTTTCGGTACGAAATAATCAAAATTAAAAAAAAAATCAAATAATCGTGCCTTTTCTTCAACTTTATAAATCATTTTTCTTCTTCTCTGCCCCTTTGTGTGAATCTTTTTCTGTATTTTTGTAAAACTCTATGATATTTAATTGAAATTATCACTTTATATGCATGCATTTATAATAAAAGGAAAGTTTTTAAATATACAACTTACCTGATCAAATAACGGATGACCGTATGAGTCCAACCAGAATTTAAAATACTAATAAACAAATTTCTCATTTGTTAATACTTTTATCCTTTTATACGATTACAACAATCATACAATTACAGCAAAGCCTTTGTTACATGTATATATACTATGTTCTAATCGGTCATTCAAAATAAATTAGGGAAAAGCATTGGACTTATTAATCCTTCGTTCTTTATATTGAAAAATAATAAATGAAAACAACACGTTATAAATTTCATGCGTCCGGTGGGCTTTTCTCGATTTACCTTTATCAGGAACCCTCTAAGCCAAATATTTGAAAGCCAAGGATATAAAAGAACCGAAAAAGTTGACGAGCTATATGACCAATAAAAAGGACCTATAATAATTGCAATGATAGTTGTCTCATTGTCAATCATACCACATCTGCTAATTTTTATATTCTATAATAATTGCAAATCCTTCGTAGGTCAACTTTGCCAGAGAGAGTTGAAACCTTAGTTTTTTTAATAATGTAGATGCCAATTTTATAAAGGATAGGGAATTACAAATGGTTTACAAAAACCATTTGTAGTTATAGTTATAAACAGTGCTGAGTTCAAAACGTCGATTCAATTTTGGTCAAGGAGTTTTCATATAACATTGTAAAACTCAAGCGAGATCCTTATGCCATTCCTGCTTACGTCAATTCGTCTTTAAGTGATAATGATGTGATGCACACTAAAAGTCTGAAACTTTAGGTGTAAGAAACATGAAATGTGTAAGTCCATCCCTTTCTAGTTTTAATCTGTTTCGGGTCAATCAATATCCAGGTGCTTTTGTTCATTTGATGAGCCGAAATCATTTTATCAAGTACCTGTACCAAGTCAGGAATATGACAGTTGTTTTCTAATCGTTTGAGGTGTTTGAGCTTTTGATTTTGCCATTTGATAAGGGACTTTCCGTTTTGAATTTTTCTTTGAGTTCGGTATTTTTGTTTTATTACTTTTTATCAATTCTCCTCAGTTGGAGACTTGTATATCTCCAGTTTCTTTTTTTTGAATATTCAAAGTGCTATAAGTTCAGGAAATGGTTAATACAGGTTTCACATTTCCTTTAAACTTACAATTGAATCAACGATGTTTAGCATTTGGTTATAGGTTAGTCGTTCTTTCGGAACATTAAGTGAATGGCTAATATTAGGTTGATGATATCCTTGGGGAACATAAGTGGATGGCTAATATTAGTTTGATGATATCCTTGGGGAACATAAGTGGATGGCTAACATTAGGTTGATGATTTGCTTGGGGAACTGAAGTGGATGACTTACATTAGGTTGATGATATCCTTGGGGAACTGCAGTGGATGGCTAACATTATGTTGATGATATCATTTTGGAACTGAAGTGGATGGCATACATTAGGTTGATGATATCCTTGGGGAATTTAAGTGGATGGCTAACGTTAGGTTAATGATATCCTTGGGGAACTTAAGTTGATGGCAACCATTATGTTGACGATATCCTTGGGGAACATAAGTGAAATTGAGAATGGAAATGGAGAATGTGTCAAAGAGACAACAACCCGACCAAAGAGCAGAAAACAGCCCAAAGCCACTAATGGGTCTTCAACATAGCGAGAAAATAACGCACCCGGAGGCGGGCTTCAGCTGGCCCCTAAACAAATATGTTTACTAGTTCAGTGAAAATGGACGTCACAGTAAACTCCAAAACATATAAATGAACTAAAATTTTTAAAAAACATACCAGACTAACAAAGAACAGAGGCTCCTGACTTGGGACAGGGGCAAAAATGCGACGGGGTTAAACATGTTTTGTGAGATCTCAACCCTCCCCTATACCTTACGCCAATGTAGAATAAACAAACACACAGCAATACGTACAGTAAAACTCAGTTTAAAAGAAGTCCGAGACCGATGTCAGAATAGGTAACAGAAGAAACTAAGCAAAATGACAATGATACATAAATTAACAAAGGACTACTAGCAGTTACTGACATGCCAGCTCCAGACCTCAATTAAACTGATTGACCGTTAGGGGTTTAGTATCATACCATCATAAAATATATGTGAAGAACATAAACCGTATCATACCATCATAAAATATATGAGAAGAACATAACCCGTATCATACCAACAACTGGTTTTAGAATAAATGTGTTTATTTCCGATACAAAGACCACATGAGTGAATCAATATCAATTCCAAATATGCCATCTTTAATGACCTGACAACAGTATCGTAACTATATCCCTTCCGAATAAGTCTGTTTAAAGGTTTGGTTAGCTTTTGAGGTAGATGACGACACTTTTGTGCTTTGTATAGCATATTACCATAATAGATTGGATGTGAAATACCTACACGTATAAGATGTCTGCATGTTGATTTATATTTACGAATGATGTCCTTGTACCGATGATAAAATTTGGAAAATGTTTTTTTACTAGTTTGTGATATCTAAAACCCTGGTGGGATAATTTTTTAAGTAATATAGAATCAAATACGTTGTTACATACACGAGCGAATCGAACAAGTTGAGATATATAAACACCATAAGATGGTGACAAGGGAACGTCACCATCTTAAATTGGATGATTAACAATAGGAAATGAAACATCATCTCTTTTATCGTAAATTTTGGTATTAATCTTCCCGTTAAATATAGATATTAAGACCTAGGAAAGGGCAGTGTTCATTGTTTAGTACTAGTTTTATTTAAAGTCAGTTCAGCAGGATAAATTTCTTTAGTGTATATACTGAAGTCGTCATTATTGAGAGCCAATATATCATCCAAATATCTAAAAGTGTTATTAAAAATATTTTCGTATCAGATGGTGTTTCGATGGTTCTTTGCTGATTTTCCCATTGGAATTCCGATAACTTGACGATATGCGGAATCTCCATAGCGAACAAAAAATTTTTCTAGTAAAAATTCAAGTCAAGTCATTGTATCAAAACAGGTCCAATTGACATAGTTCTTTTGTTTGTTATTACTAAAAAATTACCTAAAAGAGTTTGGACATATATATTTGCATTCTGACTTTTTAAATGCCCCTTTAATTAGATGTGTGATTTTTTTCTTAATGAGATTATGTGGATGGCTTACATTAGATTAATGATATCCGTGGGGAACTTAAGTGGATGGCAAACGTCATCAGTATTCATTTTGGAACTAGATGCGTTATTTTGCAACAATGTATAGACTGTTATGTCTTGCATATCTTTTATGCAAACGTGAATTAAAATGTTTTAATCTGATGACCGACAAATGGGGACCAAAATAGTATGCCAGTCTTTCTTTATGTGTATAGTATACTGTGTCATGGACAAGTTACGCAAACTTTTCCTCGATGACCAAATCTCATTTCATTTCAAATCAATTTACAAACCAACCAAAAAAAGCGTCGAGAAGTTGCTTGTTAGAAACTATTGAGTCTATATAAAAAATATAAACAGCGAAACGAATACAAAATGAGCACATAATTTTTATACTTATTCGTTTTTTCAAGAATATTCACGACATTATGATTTTAGTTATTAAATCTTCAAGTAATTAACATAAAGTGACGAACATATTGCATGTCTTATTTGTTTTGTGTCTCTCTCTAATCTCAAACAGATTTCAGGATATCAGACTATACAGTTATTGGTTACTTTCTTTGATGTACCACCTGGTCGGTGGTGATTGTTACAACCATTTTACATACCATAGTCTTATGTAGACGAAACGCGAGTCTGGTGTACCAAATTATAAATCTGGTATTTTTAATGAATTTTTATAACCACTGGGTCCATGCCACTGTTGGTGGACTTTTCTTTTCCGAGAGTATCACCAGCAAAGCATTATTTCCTTTGTCATATTTGGCACAACTTTTCGTAATTTTCGTTTTTTAATACTCTTTAACTTGATTTGGTTCCAAATGATTTGATTCGACGCCACTGTTGATCCGTATGTAAACGAAAGGCGCGTCTCTCGTAATAAATACAAGCCTGGTATTTTTTATTAGGTTTAACAGTGCAAAAGTGCATTCATAGGTAAAAACATGACATGTTTGTTTTTTCAAAAGTTGTGTACTCCAAACATTTAATTTTTCATTTATTTGTATTTATATGTTACGTATATTTTTGTCTCTATATAATATGATATAAAAGTACAAAAACAACTTAAAAGTACCATCAAAGAAAAGACCGACAGTCTGCTGAACCAGATATATTCTCAGTTTTACTCAAATTCAACATGATAAACGTAAGAAGTGATCGAAGTCCTGATGCAAACCCAGCAAGCTTATCGATACCAAAGCTTCACAAGAGACAGATATATTTCTGAATGAATTTCTCAATTTTCAAAATGAATCTTGTGTAGTTTTGACGTCGTTAAAACTAACTTATTCAATGGAATCATCTTAACGTTCAGAGAAACATTTTTTCTTCGAAATTTGAAACAATTTCTATTTTTTTTTATTTTTTTTCCCCCTGAGTATTTATGTCATCCCGATACTGTAGATACATGTAGAGTCATGATTATTTTTACAAATAATTAAAATGTCCGTTTTCAGATAAGCTTAAACTGATAAACTACATAATTCAAAACCAAGTCACCACCGATGTTTTAAATATATACCTTGTTAGTTAAAGATAGTACATGTTGTTTAATTTGATTGAAATATTTCCAATTTAGTTTTGTAAACTGATGAAAGATATTTTCAACTGAATTGATTTGACTGATCATATTCAAAAGCCTTAATGACAATACACCACACATTAAGATGATTCTTTTATTGTGTTAAACCTTCACGGTTATACACTTAAATATACACACCCTTTAAAACTGTATCAGATACCCTCCACCAAGGTTTGTAACAATTACTGGGGTCAATGCATTGATTTTTGAATATGCAAAAGATGTATGTGAATTAGTATTTGATCTAGACTATTACCAAAATCGTCTTGTGTCTTATAGGTAAGTCTTATTTATGAACGTACACTTTTAATTTGTTACCATGTAGGAAAGTAAGTGGTCTCATAAATATACGTATAAATGAAAAATAAATATCTTAACGATATAATGAGATAATGATAAAGAATTTACTTCATTTTCAGTCATGGCTATCACTTGGCATTTTATTTCAGAAAAGTCATGGCCAGCTTTGAAGCTAATACAAGGAACGAGATAGACAATTTCCTGTAACTACTCCGTAATAAGCACACAGTTGTGTTTACTGCTTGATTCGCGAAATTTACAGTTTGAAATTTTGTTTTAACGGAAACTTTATTAAGACCTCTGAAGTCTTCCGCAAAGAAGTATTCCTAGAAATAACGCCTCATTCCGGAACTTTATTTAAAAAAAAAACAAAAAGTAGACTTCTTTATAAAATAAGTTTCTAGGTTTAGACAATAGTGGAGTCTATTCTCAAACTTCATGTGAACACTTGTAAATAACAATTGAATGAATTTAGACAACCCCTGCGTATCAGTCCGATGCAATGATATAATGGATAAAAACAGGCATCGGGAAAAGTATCATAATCATTATGGTAGATTCTTTTATCTTTTCACGAAAGAAATTTCAAATCAAAATTAGCTACCGGTATTAACTCACTGTTTGATTTAGAAAGGAGTGTACCTATTTTTTTTTTATTTGATTTTTTATTTCAGCATACACATTTAAAAATATGTCAGAACTGACCGAGAAATTTAATAACTGCATTATTCATGGGAAGGAACTTGACTATTATTGTCCGAGACACGACGAAGTCATCTGTGAGTTTTGCATTGAAAGCAAACATGAAGGATGTCGTAACTTAATTGACGTTGATCAAATATCAAAAGACGCTGATCTCAGTGAATTAACAGACATTAAGGAAGCCGCTGTAGACATGGAGGAAAATATAGAAAGATTTCTAAAAGATCAACGAGAAAACAGAACACAATTAGATGAACAGAAGAATGATATCGCATCAGACATTAAGCATTTTAGGGATAAAATCAATGACCATCTTGATCGATTGCAACAAGATCTTATGGATGATTTATCAGAAACACATGAAAAACTGGCTGCTCAAATAGAGGAAACCATTAAAGATCTTGAAAATAAGAAATCAAAGCTGGCTTCACTGAAAATGAATTTTGACAATATAGCCGAGGAAGACAAATCACCGACAAATTTCATAATAGCCAAAAAAGTGAAGAAAGAATTGACGCGTTTAACGAAACCCTTATCTGTCCTCCTTCATGGCTTGAAACATTCCAATTTAGAATTTGACGCCAGTACTGAAGCAGAATTAATGGTATTAGAAATTGAGTCTTTTGGCGCGATTGCAATCTCCGAAAAATCATCATCATTACAGTTGACTAGTAAAAATGAAGATTTGAAATTAAACCTCAATCCTGCAAGAAATATTGCTGAAATTAGACTGAAAGTTAAAACTGATATTAGGATAAAGAATAAAGCCCAGTTGTCTGTACAGAAGTGTATCATACTACCAAGCAACCAATTCCTTTTCGTCGATGAAAAAAACGAAAGACTCGTAATTCACGACCAAGATGGATCACATCACCACGATATTAGTGTTTCCAATAAACCATTTGATGTTGTTGTAATCGATCCCCGACGCGTTGCAGTGACATTTGGTAGGGGTAGACAACTAGAGATTTTAGACATTTCGAAACATAAATGTGACAGAATAATTAAAACCGCGAATGATTGTTGGGGAATTTCCCATCGGGATGGAAATCTGTTCGTCGTTGTCTACAGAAAGGGAATAGAAGTAATCAGTATTGCTGGACAGTTGATAGCCGTCATTCCAATTAATGTAGATCACGTATTTTATATTTCGCTACATTCCGATAAAATTTATTATACTGACTGGGCAGAAGACACCGTGAACTGCTGTGACTTTAATGGCGACGAAGTTTGGTGCTACGGTTATGACAATGTCGTTTCAGAGCAGGGAATAGCGACTGATGCCGAAGGTAATGTTTTTGTTGTCGGTTATAGAACAAATAACGTTATGGTTACTTCGCCTGATGGCCGACGTTACAAAGTATTGTTGAGCGGGGAATCAGATGGCCTAAACTGGCCAACAGGACTATTCTACGACGCACAAGGAGATCGCTTATTGATTTGCAATGAAACAGACGGGTATGCTGCACTGTACGACATAGAATAACATATTGTATAGTTTTTGTTATAACAGACTATACAAATATTCAAATAGACTATATAAAAAGACATTCACAAAGTATTAGTATTATAAATGTGAAAAAGCATTATTATGATATTGAAGAGTGAGAGAATATGTTAAAAATTTAGAACGTAAAGAAATAATTCTCGAAAAAAAAACTCACTACATGAAGTATAATTTAACTTTTGGGGTTCAAAAACCGTCGAACGTATAAAAATAAGAAGTTGTGATAAAATTGCCAATGAAACAACCATATACGATACTGTTGTCAGGTCATTAAGGATGGCATATTTTGGTATTAATATTGATTCACTCATAGGGTCTTTGCATCGGAAATAAACACATTTATTCTAAAACCATTTGTTGGCATGAAACGGGTTATGTTCTTCTCATATATTTTATGATGGTATGATGCTAAACCCCTAACGGGAGGGATTGTACCTGATTTTCATATGATGAAGACATAATCTTTCAATCAGTTTAATTGAGGTTTGGAGCTGGCATGTCAGTAACTGCTAGTAGTCCTTTGTTAATTTATGTATCATTGTCATTTTGCTTAGTTTCTTTTGTTACCTATTCTGACATCGGACACGGAATTCTTTTAAACTGAGTTTTACTGTGCGTATAGCTATGTGTTTCTTTATTCTACATTGGCTAGAGGTATATGGGGAGGGTTGAGATCTCACAAAACATGTTTAACCCCGCCGCATTTTTGCGCCTGTCCCAAGTCAGGAGCCTCTGGCCTTTGTTAGTCTTGTATGGTTTTTTTAATTCTAGTTCCTTTATATGTTTTGGAGTTTAGTGTGACGTCCATTTTCACTGAACCAGTACACAATTTTATTTAGGGGCCAGCTGAGGACAACCTCCGGGTGCGGGATTTTCTCGCTGCGTTGAAGACCCATTGGTGGCCTTCGGCTGTTATCTGCTCTTTGGTCGGGTTGTTGTCTCTTTGACATATTCCCTATTTCCATTCTCAATTTTATATATATACACTCGGAGATTAAATGACGTAGAAGTAAGCAACTATAAGTGGAAAAATACTTTAAGGTTCATCATAATAAATGGCAAAAAATTGCTGTGTTTACACCAAAAATTTACTATGAATACAGATAAACCTGTGCAAATTTAAAAAAATAGTTTTAAATACTAGCTTCCACTAGGTTAAATGCAGTTTGTGTTTCAGAAACAAAAAATCTTTTTTTGATTTAGATGGGGATTTTTTCTCTTTCCTGCAGAAGATGTAAAATAGACTAAGTTGGGTTAAACCTTTGAGATGGCCCCTCTCAGGTAACAATCGTATAATATGATTTGAAGGGTGTAACTGAGTGGACAGTATCAAATATATCTTAGGTGTACCATCATTGGAAGTGATGAAAAAATGCCCATTAGATTCCAAAAAAAAATTTGATCTTTCTGAAACACAAAATGCATTTAATTTTTATATCTCTAGTGGATTCTAGGCCTTAAAACTTTTCCAACTGCACAGGTTTTTCTGTACTCAAAGTAGTTTTGGGGGTGTAAACACAGAAATTTTTGTCCATTTGTTATGATGAACATTAAAGATGCAAGCCTTGTTGTTCGGCAGATCGTTTCGCCTAACATTTTTGAAATTGCTTCTGAACTATAAATATTTGATTTCAAACCTATACTGTCAGATGTACATAAACAGATGTATTTGTTAACTGCTGAAATACGAATTTTGAAAATTTGACATAATTGAGCAAATGTACTTAAAATTTTGTAAAAGAATTCTGATATAAATTCTACTGCATTATTTATAGTTTATGGAGAGCTTGAGAGGGTTTCCACTCGAATTTTGGTTCAAATTGAGGATTCTTTCTTTAAAAAGAAAATTTAAATGACAATAAAGTCAGTAATACAGGTACATTATACAGTTTAATGTAATGTTTAAAAAGTAATCATGGAGTGAATTGCAAGTGGGTTTGCCACATAAGGCATTTATTAAAAGATTAAGGTGTGAGCTTTATCATTTTTAAAACAGTTTCCTGTCACACGGTTATCATTCTCACATGAAGCTCGACACCAGATTATTTCAGGATTATCTGATTCACAGTTCCAGAGAAAAAAGCAACGACAATTTCATCATATTCACGACATCATGTATAAGACTGTACATGTATAAAACTGTCGGTAAACAGGAAGTTGATGAAAGATAGATTTGAAACCGTATCACACCGTGCAGCATGCTCATATGAAGATTGACACCTAATCTCAACAAGATCTGATTTGTAGTTCCTGTGATCAATGCGATGAAAATTTCATGAGACGAACGGTAAACCAATATACTCCTCCTACGGAACAGGGGTATTAATATGTAATACAGCAGCATTTTTCAAAAGGAGTAAATATGAGCTAAATAATTCAACTAAAACAAGGTTTATTATTGAGATGATTGAAGGTACACAATATAACAATCATAAACAATATATAACATATCACAGAGAAACAAATTAGTGGAAGTAGATTATAGACATATATAATTCTAATTTCAAAAAATTATTGTTCAACACTGTATTCTGATCATTATCAGGAACTGACATGCGTGTATGTTATAAAGAAATGAGTACAATGTAGGATAAGAACTGTGTTAAATTATCAGTTATTATTATTATTATTATTATTATTATTATTATTATTATTATTATTATGCGTTTTTGTCTTTACAAGTTTTTGACACCTACTGTGTTTTCCCTCATCTTTATGTATTTTTAGTGTTTTTACTTTAGCGTTATCGCCTTTTGTGTTAAAGCCTTTTCGCGTTTCTGCCTTTTAACTTTTTCGACATTCTCAAAACCATTTTTTTATTCTAAGGATATATGTTACATGAATGATTTATATACAGTAATCTAATCCTTCTTACTATATAAATCCTTGGTCCCATTAAATTGGTTGACATTTTTAACGTATATTCTGTAGACTCTTGATATAAAAAAAATCCAGCAGATTTAGAATAAATAATTTACGTATGTTAATTGGCAGTACCTCTTTCTATATATTGCATCAATAATGCGTCTGTTCATTTTTCAATATTTAAATCTTTAATAATTCATTTGCCTAGTATCAAGATTAACAGATAAATTAACAAGACACGCTTCTTAAAATTTCAATCAATTCAACTATATAAAAAAATATTTATAACAGACAATATATCTATGAAATATTAACAATGCTAAACTATTTAATAAACAACAATACCAGTGTCATATAACAAATAACTATATCACAGGAAAACTTATAAGAGGGTGTGGATGGGGGTTTGCAGAACAGAGAATAATGGGCAAAAAATATAAAGAATAGAGAAAAATGGACCAAAAAATAAAGAATAGAGAATAATGAGGTGCTAAAATATAAAAATAGAGAAAAATGGACCAAAAAATAAAGAATAGAGAATAGTGAGGTGCTAACATTTTTATAAAGAATAGAGAATAATGGGGAAAAAAGTATAAAGAATAGAGAAAAATGGCCTAACAAAGTAAAGAATACATAAATGAAGGACCCTCCCCCCTTCCAGACCCTCTTATAATTTAGACAACAGAATCATTATTTGAGGTAAGATTTTGAGACGCAGATTCTGAAAAGAACATAGAAAATATTCCATTCGTTGGCAGTACAGAAACCACTGTTCATATTGAAAACGAAAGGGAAAATAATAAGCATAATTAAAGAGTGTCTAGCCCGATGGGGTTTACAGAATAGAGAATCATGCATGGCAAAAATATAATGAATAGATAGAAATAAGAAAAAATTTATAAGAATACGGAATAATGGGATGCAAAAATATAAAGTGTGGAAGATAAATTTAAAGATTAAAGTAATAAAATACTGATAACAGAAATGAACGATGTACCGAATAATGAAATTGGTTAATTACACAAAGATTAAATAGTAAAATCATGTTGAAACTTCACGATAATTTTAGAGAATAATGAGAAAGATAGATAAAAATGCCCTAACATTTGAAAGAATACAGACAATAAGGACCCTTAAAGAATGCAGAAAATAAGGACCCTTAAAGAATGCAGAAAATAAAGACACCCTCATTGATATAAAACAAAGGGAGAATAAATACAGCTGATGACAGTAAGAACTGCATCATATGTAATTTCTTAAAATTTTAAAGAAAGGACAAAGGTTGATAAGTTAGATAAGTGTTCTTTTTTATATTATTTTTATCAGAATCCTCCGACATATTTTTTGATGGCATTTTATTCATCACAAGAGTTTAAAAATGCTTAAGAGAGAAAACTGTCTCTATATCAATTTGTTCTAGTGACGTCATGATTTTGTAAGTTGGTATCTGAACAATTGAAAAAAAATCGACGAAAAGCCATATTTTTTTGTTGTTTTTTTTTCAAATTAAGCCCCATCCCAAAATAAATATTCTAACTCTGTCGATAGTGAAAAGCTGAATAATAAGATAGAAAGGTATAAGATAGGAGATAACTAACATTATTCATAATAATAAATGACAAGCACTGATAAAGTAAAGTAAAAGAACCGACCGTGCGAGACCCACATGGGTAGTCAAGGTCGTAAAACACCCTTAGTAATGTAAAAGATCCTTTAGAAAATGTAAGCCACACAAGAGTTTTCTTTAACGAATTTTCCAGAAGGATTGTCAACGAACAAAGATATTGACTGAAAAGTCTAAAAATTTACACAACATCAAATAAAACTTCATACAAGACAAAACGTCTGGTCAAGCGTTTAGAATCTCAGCTACGTCCTCGATCATTTTCTCCTCTGTTCCCTTTAAATCCTTCTCTTCTGTCTCTGTCCCATCTTCAGCCTTTTCATCATCTACACCACCAGCTTTGGTTCCATTCTGGACTGGATTTTCAGCCTTTTCATGATTTTTTTCTGCATCCGATGTTTCTTTATTTTCATCACCTGCATCCTCAGAAATTGCTTTATCTGGCTTTTTCTCTGTCGTCATTTCAGTGCTTGTTGCTGGTGTTTCCTGTTTCTCTGTCTTTGTTTCAGTGCTTGTTGCTGGTGTTTCCTGTTTCTCTGTCGTCGTTTCAATGCTTGTGGCTGGCGTTTCCTGTTTCTCTGTCGTTGTTTCAGTGCTTGTCGCTGGTGTTTCCTGTTTCTCTTTCGATGTTTCAATGCTTGTAGCTGGTGTTTCTTCTTTCTTTGATACAGCGTGTTCTTCTAGAATGACAGGCTTAGAAATCGGTGCATGTTCTGCTAAACGCAAGACAGATCTTGACATCGTTCTAGATATTTGCCGATTCATCGGTTTGTAAGCAGGTGCAGTTGGTGTAATGACACTTTTAGATATTTGTCTATTCATAGGCTTGCTTGAAGGACCAATTGGGGCAATTGCGTTTCTAGATATCGTTCGTTTCAGAGGTGCTTTTATTGTTGGTGGTGTTGTCTTCTCGGGATGTATTGTAGCACTGTTTCCAGTTGAAGGTGGAGGAGTTGGCCTCTTTTGTAAGTCAATCTCCTCCGATGGTCCTTCTGGATGTTCCTGTACAGTAACCATAGTTGATTCTGGTCTTGTTGACTCCGGTCGTTTAGCGTCATCAGGTGATGTTCTCACCAAAATAGAAGAACAACTGGCCTGTCTGGTTATGACCGAAGAATTACTCATCACACTATACCTGTTTATTTCTGTTTGCTCAGGAGTAGCTATAGATTTTCGAGAGAGTGATCGCTGAATGGTTTGTCGAGGTGGAACACTTGGCTTTTCTGTTTCAGATTTTCCAGGTAGGTCGCCGTCATCTGGAGTTTGTTTCTCCTCTTTAGTTTCTTTTTCCCCTTTTGCCTTTGGTTCCGTCTCATTTTCAGTTTGTACTAGATCGATCTTGCCCTCTTTCAGTGCTTCTGTTGATAAAAAAATAATTCATATATTATAATGTACAGTGCTGATTTAATTATAATTCTGAAAAAATTTTAAAAAAAAAGAACAAAACGTGTTTTGAACATAAAATGGTTGATACATAAACAATGTGAGCATACAAAATCAGTAAAAAAAAATTTAGGTAAAAAAAAGTACAAAATGAAATTTTAAAGTATAAAATTACATACATTTCACATATCTATTTATGATCATCAAAGCTTTGGTGCCATAAATACTATAAATTAAGCTATTAGCTAAATACGAATACAGAAATTATTGTGCAAAAACTAGTTCGATTTTTATCAAAAGTACTAACATGTTATAGATATTTCAAATCTTTTGGATAGTTTTACGGTGTATCGTAAATTATACCATAGCTTTTGTTGAAACCCCCGACAATGAGTTTGCCGACGAGTATCAACAAAAACTATGATATAATTTACGATACACCAAAAACATATCCCAAAATATGGAATTCATATTTCATATATTTTTTGTTTTTTCACTTTTAAAATAATGTTGATAAGAATCAGCCAATTATCCTTTTCGGGCCTTACAAATAAAGTTCCGCTTACTATTTAAAATAAGCACGGGCTTCCAGCAATGGATGCACATTTACATTGGTGTTGCATAACGTAACAGATGAAAAAATGTTGAAGGAATTATATGTTCTGGGTATGCTGTGCAACGAATAAAAACCAGACATAAGCCGAATATGTAGGACTGTAACGATACAATAGAGATTCAGTGGTAAGCATGCGACTACAGATTTTTGATATTTTGAAAGATTTCTGGAATCCCAGATTACAATTTTAACTTTTTTTATTTCATGAGAATGTTTAAAATGCTTTTATTTTTAAGTATTCATTCATAATTCTGAGGAAATTAATTTCTCAAGAATCTCTCCAAGATTTTGAATGAATAATACCACATTTTAATTTGTATCAAAAGCCCAAGTCGTACAAATTAATAGGTTTTTCAAAATGTTACCTATTAAAATAACATGTTTCCTATTGATAGTCCTTAGTATTTAACCTTCATTTAGAGTAACCGGACGCTATCTAAGTCTAGCGGTCAAACATTATTAGTTTTACTTTTAAGCAACCTCGTTAAAATCTAGATGCCAGCAGTGTATATCAAATAATTTTTAAACCTATAGCTGTACAATGGAGCCTTTGGGAATACAATCCAAGTATACATCTCAATAACCGAAAATCAACTTATATTTTCCAGTATAATATATATTCAAATATAAAGCTTAATACATTCGTTTTTATTTTACTTTATTTGTTTTTTTTTTTCTTGGAGCAAAATTTTTTTTCATTTAAAAATATAGGACAACGGAGTTGGCGTACGGTTGTTAGATTCCCATCCTTGGCATTCATTTATATCGGTGTGTGAAAAGCAGCCAATTCAGCTTAGTGGCCTCGCGCTGACTCTGTTGTTCCTATGTCAAAAAATTCAGCCGGCCGTGGCCAGGTCTTGCTTTCATTCTTTTTTCTTCGAAGTCCAGATGCAACAAAACCATGGTATAATTGTGAAAATTATACCATAGATAGTTATGGTATAATTTTCGGTTACTGAGATTTATACTCTGGTTGCATTCCCATAGGCTCATTTGTACAGCTATAGTTTTGAAGAAGATTTAGAGATTACTGCATACAAGTAATCTATCAAAATTTCAATTGTCAGTTATATTCCGTCGAATTTTTCGTATAGATAAACATATCTTCTGATTTTGATTTTTGGTGTTTTAACGCCACTTTTAAGCACCGCTTTTGGGCTATTTTGTGGCAGCCAGTTTTTATTGTTGGTGGAGGAAGCCGGAGTGTCCGGAGAAAACCTCCGACCTTCGATAGGAAAACTGACAGTCCTAGTCAATTAAGATTGGAGTCGAGTGCACCTGCACGAGCGGGGTTCGAACTCACAACCTCAGTGTTGACTGGCTCGTGATTACAGTAGTAACTACTTAGACCACTCGGCCAACGAGGCCTCATATTTTCTGTATGATGTTGTGAAATGTACGGGCATAAAAAAGACTGTTATATTCTTTTACTTAAATAAATGTAGATATCTCTTTTTATCTATAAAAATGTTCACCATTTAGTAATTTAGCTAATAGTAATTTCAGTTTGCGAAATAGTCATTCTCGGTTCAATTATCCAAATTAAATACACCTTTAATATCATATAAAATTGAATAATAGATGTTCATGCTAAATTTATAAAAAAAAATGTAATATTGTGTATACGTCTTTCAAAAATGGCAGACCATATCTCTCTAACAAATCATAGAATGATATTGTACCAATATACTATTGAGCATCATCAGTTGATTCCTCGGGTTTATATGTAAGCTAATGAATGATTGTACAAAAACATAATTTTCTAGTATTAAAGCTGTTTTTCGTTTTAAGAGAATCAGAAACTGGGTTATATTGTTTTCTGTAAAGTTGTCAAGATTCAATATAAATTCAGTGTATTCCCTAGAATTTTCAAAAATAATTTAGTTTAGAGATACAATGCTCCCTAAGTCAGCATGATTTTCTTGGTAAATATTCTATCAAATCACTAAAATATGTATTCCATTCGTAAATTTGCGGTTTCACCAAGGAAACGAATCTTAGGAAATTAATATTTCATGAACAACCATGAATAAACAATCAGTCATGAATGGAAATACACCCTTAGTGTACCGTTGATAAAAAATGGAATTTATGTTGGGGAAATCAATCAACTACAGTTTTTCAATAAGAAAAATTCTAAATAAAATTCAATACAAATATGTCCAGACAGACTCCTTCTTAAAGATATGCAACTAATTAGCAGTAGTGTTTGCTAAAATATGGAAGTGTTGCACATGTGATGCTACCTAAAAACTGTTATATTTTTAAAATCGTCTCCTTTCTAACTAATCGTTAAAATTAAAATTTCAGTTAAGTCTAATTTTAGATTAAATGGTAGTTTTTACGCTTCTTTCTGTGATTTTACATGTTTTTTTGTCCACACATATCTGTTTGGATTTGTTGATATTCCGAAGTTTTTCTGAACGCTTTGCATCTTTTTGTTTCCATTTAAAATTTCCAATTCTCTCTTCCTACTTTCTTCCATAATTTTGTCTTTCATAAACGCTGACAAACCACCAACGATTCGTTTAGATCCTTTAGCTTCTGAAGATTGTCCGAATTTCGTCGCTGCAACATCCCATCCAGAATTTGAAGGCTTTTGGGCTTTTTTGTCAATTAATGTATCTTTAACAGACGATGGTAAACCACTAACAATTCGTTTTGACCCCATTGTTTGTGATGATTGCCCAAATCTATTTGCTGCAACATCCCATCCCGTGTTTTTATCGGTAGATTTGACAACATCGATATTCGAAATTGATAATGAACTTGTTTTTCCGAACCGAGGCGAATGATTGTTCGGACTGGTTTTTCCCCTTTTATTTTGTCGGTCAGTGGAAGGATTTTTCATTCCCTGTTCTACAACAGAAAGCTTGCTAAGTGCATTGATTTTGGAGGATGAATTAGAAAAGAATTTCTTCAAAATCATTTTATTTCTCGAAACAACTTCTGGTGACTGTCGTTCAACTTCTTCATTACATGGCGAGCTTGTATTTGATCCTGACGATTCGCTATTGTTGAATAACCTTTTTTGTTCTGACGTGATGGGTTGTTGGCCAATAAATTTCCTAAACGGTTTTTTCTTTTTCATATCTTTTTTCTTTGACTCCTTGAAGTATTTTTCTGCAAGTATATATTATTAAATTAAACCTGCGTTTTCAAAGTTAATTTCTGAATCATTTCTTTTAACCCTTTTACAATTTGTGAATACTGATATTTTAATATAGATGAAAGAATTATGAGTAGCTTGTTCATTAAAAAAAAGTGTTTTGACAATTTATATTTTGTATGCCGTAACAACAAAGCTCTATAGCATTGTAATTCTATAATTCTTTATAAAATCAAATGACCCAACAATCCACCACGTGCATTTTAATTTATTTTTATGTAACAGCAAGAAACGAACACTTTGAAAACACACATTTTTAAAAGGTTCAAAGCGAGAAAATTCCGAAAACAAACAGCACACAAAAATAACTGAAGAAGATTATCACCTCTAGCAAATGCTGTGGATTTGTTGAAGTCGAGAGCTGAAGGTTTTGGTTCACCTGTTGAGCTCTCAGGACATCCTGTTATCTGAGATTTGTCCCTCCTTCCCCGGATAATAACAAAAAGCAAAGCGCCTATGATCGCTAGACCAATAAATACTGCTATCAAAATCATAACATAGCCTCCTGCTGGACTAAAATAAAAAGTAAGAATTGTTTTATAAATATTTATATATTATTGGATATAATAAAAATAACCAATGATGCTTCAGTTGCATCAGTTAATAGTTACGAGTAAAATATCTGCCAGCGTTAAAGATGTAATTTCTCTTCAATTCATGTATGAGTCATTTTTATCAATTAATTGAAAGAGTTTTGAACATTTGATATGTTGATTATAAAATGTATATGACTTTTTTGTTTTAGTCCATTGTTGTTTTGCTTCATTTCAATGTTCATCAGTCATATTTCGTCTTTCATACGGATATTCTTATGAATAAAGAATAATTACAGCGCCCTCTTACGGTCAGTGTCCTCCAAAGGAGATCGTAGCGAGCAGAATATAATGACTTAGTTATTCGGGTTAGTACTCCCAGCACACGGATTAAACAACTACATATAAGTTGGATTTTAGATGAATTTGGTAATTGGTTGTTTTGTTTTGTTTTTCCTCTTTTCATTCAAATGCTTCATACCATTATCATCATATAATAATGCTGCTCAGTATTTACAGTTTTTTGTAGACTGTTCTTCATCTTTTCCTCGTTCTTCGTTTTTTTTTTGCAAAATATTGTCGGTTTCTCTTCGACTTATGAATTTTGATTTCTCTATATGGTATCTTCAGCCTCTTGTTTTAAATGTATTAATTTTACATATAACAATATGCAGAAAACTTACATAAACGTTTCAAATTGTGCTTCATTTTCTGCCATTACACCTATAAATAGATTTTATTTTACTTAAGATTATCAGATATTTGCAATTTGAATGAAGGAATGTGGAGTGTGTGTCAATGACAAAGAAACGCCATCTTTAACACATACACATACTCACACAACACACAAGCATGCAGTTGTTTGAAACGAAGTAGTTAAAATGCTTATCGATTGTCGCATGCCCAAAGTAGCTGGTTAACATTGGTGTTACATGTGTCTCTCTAATTAATATCATTTTCCAGTAATTTGTGATGAAATTTTCATTAAAGACACAGAAAAGCAACATGCATCAAAACATTGTTTATGAAAACTTACCATAACTTATTGTGAAAATGATCAGGAAGTCGAAAGCACACATCATCAGCATGGTTGTTGATTTAAACTGCCTATAAAGCTACCTTGTCTGAATGGTATAAGATACTTAAGTTTCAAACAAACCTAGATACCATAAAAATGCTTGGAAATAATAACAAAATATTTTGAAAAATTAATAAGATTTATATAAAATCGATACAATCACCTTTGAAATACATACAAATATGTATATAGATATATACGTATAAAATTACAAGAAAATTTAAAACAATATATTATATCATTTTCTTTTAAATCGATAAACAAATCGAATAAACATAAGAAGAGAAAATAACTTTCAGTTTAGCAAAAGACCAAACTACATGCAAACGTTTCACCATATCTCCGTTGTGTTTGTCATGGTTTTACATTTAACGTCGCCATGTAGGAGGCACTCAGTGGGGTAGTCATTATCGTTTTCTTTAGACCATTTGTCTGTACTCTGTATATTTAAGAACCCCATTATTCTTTTTTCTTTTTTTTTTTTTTTTGTTATTTTCTCTATTCCCTATTCACGGCTGGTAATCTACACACGCAGAACAATCGGTTCTGCAATGAAAACCGTGAGAGGATTTTCCGGTTATGCTTGAGTGGAGTAATTGTCACCGCTTCAAAAAGAATGTACATTTCTAAATCGCAATTTTCTAATTCAACTGATCAAAATATTGAAAATTGGAGAATGCTATGCTGTGGTGAATACTTTAACGAAGAGACACATGTATCATTTACTGTTGTGCATGGAGTAAAACTCCTACAAAATCAATCGTCCCACGAGTAATTGCCGAAAAAAGTTACATTTAAATTTTGAGATGGTTCTATTAACAGACCTATAAGTTCAGATTTAGTTTTTTTTTCTGTCAACGGGATTGAATGTCGTTTTGGGCGACGTGTACGCTGTCCGAAGGTGATAGACGTCTTCATAAATCTAAAAACTGCCAATCTTCATCATTTCATGCGTGAGGGGATCGGTTTTGATTGAGGACATCGTGAATGCGTGAGGGGAAGTGCAATCATATCTTTATATCGAAAAATGCAACAATCACTTCAAAGAAAGGCATATAACTTTCATAGTTTTATTGAAGTTCATACTAAATATAAATTGACAATGGAAATGGAAATGGCTACAACGTAAATATAAGTGGTTTAGATTTATGATTGACTATGTTTTTTTCTCGTGTGCATGTATTAAGACTGTAATGGCATCTCCTGAAATTGAACAAACAATTAAATTAGTTTGATTTCATTGAATCAGTTATCAGTTAATATCTATTAAAGTATATAGAAAAATTTTTGCTTTTTAATCAGCATTGATCACAGTTATTGAGTCGAGAAAAGTCACAAGGCCAAAGATTAAAAAAATGTTTGCACTTCCCCTCACGCATTCACGATGTCTTCAATCAGAACCGATCGCCTCACGCATGAAATAATGAAAATTGGCAGTTTTTAGATTTATTAAGACGTCTTTACCTTCGGACAGCGTACACGCCGCCCAAAACGACATTCAATCCCGTTGACAGAAAAAAAACTAAATCTGAACTTGAAGGTCTGTTAATGAACCATCTCAAAATTTAAATGTAACTTTTTTCAGCAATTACTCGTGGGACGATTGATTTTGTAGGAGTTTTACTCCATGCACAACAGTAAATGATACATGTGTCTCTTCGTTAAAGTATTCACCACAGCATAGCATTCTCCGATTTTCAATATTTTAATCAGTTGAATTAGAAAATTGCGATTTAGAAATGTACATACCTTTTGAAGCGGTGACAATTACTCCACTCAAGCATAACCGGAAAATCCTCTAACGGTTTTCATTGCAGAACCAATTGTTCTGCGTGTGTAGATTACCAGCTGTGTATTTTATTTTGCATATTTTCTGTATTCTTGATTTTATTTTGCATATTTTCTATATTCTTGATTTTATTTGGCCCATTATTCTCTATTCTGTTAATCCCATACAGACCCCAAGGTATGCGATGCTGACTAAACTACAAAACCAATAAAATATAACATGAAGTTAATGTCAATGAAACAGCAACCCAACAACACACGTTATATTATTTGAATATAGCTATTTTTCAAATGATAGAAATGATGTCTGATTACGCGTTATATAGACAGTTCGCTCTTAAAGGGGTGCCTCATAGTTTGGTTAAATAATTTTCTGCTTCATGTAAACATAACTGTTCGTTCAATTGAGCTTGCTTCAAAAATTATTTCAAATTAAGCTACTGCTTCAGCAAAAATATGACCAGACTAGAAATAGCGTATCTCTGTATTAAAAAGATTTAATTTCCCAACTCTATAAAACGTTCTGTTGGCTTGCTAATGTAGGTGTCAGGCCACCAATTCAAAATCCCTATCTATTCAACCATTTTTTTTCAATTTTCACAGCTTTCTAAATATTTTACCTTAAGTTTAACTTCATAGAAAGCAGGTATATCCTGAATTGTACATGTATCACTTTTCTACATGCCAATTTTTAACCAATGTTTAAAGTTTAAACTAACACAAGTATGGGTTTTGCTCATTGTTAAAGGCCTTGCGGTTACCCATAGTTGCTAACTTCTACGTCATTTCGAGGGTTGTCTAATTTGCAATCAAACCGCATCTTATAATTTTTATACTAGAGACAATTTAAATAATACCTTATAATTTTTGTGCGTCTGAAGCGTTTTTCTGGATTAACCTTCATCAGGAACGCTCAAACCCCAAAATTTGAAATCCATGGATGTACAAATACTTGAAAACTGGAGTTGCTATGTGACTAACAAAGGACTAAAAGAATAGCTAAATACACCCTAAATATAAATAAGAAGATGTGGTATGAGTGCCAATGAGACAACTCTCCATCCAAGTCACAATGTGTAAAAAGTAAACAGTTATAGGTCAAAGTACGGCCTTCAACACGGAGCCTTGGCTCACACCGAATAGCAAGCTATAAAGGGCCCCAAAATGACTGATGTAAAACAATTCAAACAGGAAAACCAACGGTCTAATCTATATAAAAAAAACGAGAAACGAGAAACACTTATGAACCACATCAGCAAACGACAAACACTGAACAACAGGCTCCAAAAGTAAACTTTGCCCGTGAGAGATGCAGATCATTTCAACAGAGAATCTAACAAAGGTATGTTATAAATCATGTCAGTACCGAAGCACTGACTACTGAGCTGATGATACCATCAGGGACTAGCAGTCCATCATCAGCGGTATCGATCCAGTGCTAGAAAATGAAAATACCACTGAAATTTGGTGCGTACGAACGCTTTTCTGGATTAACCTTCATCATGACAGAACAGTCAAATCCAAACATACGGGTTATGTTCTCATATATTTTATGATGGAATGATACTTAACCCCTAACGGGAGGGATTGCGCTTGATTTTCATATGATGAAGACATAATCTTTCGATCAGTTTAATTGAGGTTTGGAGCTGGCATGTCAGTAACTGCTAGTAGTCCTTTGTTAATTTATGTATCATTGTCATTTTGCTTAGTTTCTTTTGTTACCTATTCTGACATCGGACTCGGACTTCTTTTAAACTGAGTTTTACTGTGCGTATTGCGATGTGTTTCTTTATTCTACATTGGCTAGATGTATAGAGGGAGGGTTGAGATCTCACAAAACATGTTTAACCCCGCCGCATTTTTGCGCCTTTCCCAAGTCAGGAGCCTCTGGCCTTTGTTAGTATTGTATGTTTTTTTTTAATTTTAGTTCATTTATATGTTTCGGAGTTTAGTGTGACGTCCATTTTCACTGAATTAGTACACATATTTGTTTAGGGACCAGCTGAAGCCCGCCCCGGGTGCGATATTTTCTCGCTGTGTTGAAGACTCATTGGTGTGGCCTTTGGTCGAGTTGTTGTCTCTTTGACACATTCCCCATTTCAATTCTCAATTTTATTTGAAATCTAAAGTATTTATAAAAACTTGAATACTTGAGGACCTCTATTACCAAAAGGACAAACAAATGACCAAAAGAACAAACAAATGACCAAACAAATGACCAAAAGGACAAACAAATGACCAAAAGGACAAACAAAGAATAGCCAAATCCATCTAAGGTTAAGGTAAAATTGCCTGAGGGAGATGAAAGCTTAGTTTCTCATACTAATAATTATCAATGGAGAATTTAAAAAGGACCCAGTAGTCAGCACTTTTGTGTTGACATGAATTATCATTGATATGGTCATAATCGTAAACTAACTGTTAATAAAAAATAGAATATTTCGAAATACCCAGGAATAGATTACCTTAGCTGTAAATGACAGAACCTTTCGTAATTTTTGATCTTCATTGCTCTTCAACTTTGTACTTTGTCTGGCCTTAATCTTTTTTATTTGAGCGTCAATGATGAGTCTTTTGTAGACGAAACGCGCGTCTGCCGTACAAAATTTGAATGATGGTATCTATGGTGAGTATTTATAGATAATGTCAGTACTACTTAGCTGATGATACCCTCGGGCAATGTTCCTTTCCATATGAGCTGATGATACCCTCGGGCAATGTTCCTTTCCATATGAGCTGATGATACCCTCGGGCAATGTTCCTTTCCGTATGAGCTGATGATACCCTCGGGCAATGTTCCTTTCCATATGAAAGAGGGGGGACACTGAAAACATAAATTTAATAAGCAATTGTTATAGCAAGTACATTTTTCAACTAAAAAGGAAATTATAAAATCTTTAAATCGATATAATTTTGTGAATATGTTATTAATTAGCTTTATTATTTTAATATACATTGTATTGTTTAAACGTTGTCAATGGTTTATACCTATACAATTTTAAGTATTTAATTAGTATTATCAAGTTTTGATATTTCTGGTAACCTCAATGTATTCAAAATGTTATTTAGTACTCTATTTATACCAGAATAATAAAAGAAAGTTCCTATGATCTCTATTTGAAAATTGATGCTTAAACGGATTACAATCGCAAAAGGACTGTAAAAGAATAACAATGATCCACGCATTGAGTATTTTAGCTGCTACAGGTAAATAGACCCTTTTTAAAATAAGAAGTGACCTTGGATTGATGGTTTCAGATATTGCATGTGTTTCTGATTTTTTAAATCGGACCTGAATTAGTAACAATGAAGTTACCATTCTCAAAAACATTACTCTTGTGCCATCTTGAATAGATTGAAATTGCTTTTTGTGTCTACATTGTATTTATATTTATACACTTTATGTGATGTTATACATGTCTTCTCTATAACTATGTATTTGGTGATGAGAATTATAGATATATTTAGACCAAGTATTATTAATAAAATTGAGAATGGAAATAGGGAATGTGTCAAAGAGACAACAACCCGACCGAAGAGCAGAAAACAGCCGAAGGCCACAAATGGGTCTTCAACACAGCGAGAAAATCCCGCATCCGGAGGCGGGCTTCAGCTGGCCCCTAAACAAAAATGTGTACTAGTTCAGTAAAAATGGACGTCATACTAAACTCCAAAACATATAAATGAACTAAAATTAAAAAAAACATACAATACTAACAAAGGCCAGAGACTCCTGACTTGGGACAGGCGCAAAAATGCGGCGGGGTTAAACATGTTTAGTGAGATCTCAACCTTCCCCCTATACTTCTAGCCAATGTAGAATAAACAAATACACAACAATAAGCACATTAAAACTCAGTTCAAAAGAAGCCCGAGTCCGATGTCAGAATAGGTAACAGAAGAAACTAAGCAAAATGACAATGATATAAAAATTAACAAAGGACTACTAGCAGTTACTGACATGCCAGCTCCAGACCTCAATAAAACTGATTGAAAGATTATGTCTTCATCATATCAAAATCAAGTACAATTACTCCCGTTAGGGCTTTAGTATCATACCATCATAAAATATATGAGAGGAACATAACCCGTATCATGAGTCTGTTTAGGCGACGTAGACAAAGTATATTTGGAAAAGGATTAAGGATGATTTCATTGAAACAATATTTATATTTTTATTTTATTATAGAAGTGCGGAAAACCCATCATTTAGCATACAGTTAGAATACTAAGTTGATATAAAAACTGAGTTGATATGATTGCCAATGAGACAACTCTCCACTAGAGACAAAATGACATAGAAGTTAACTACAGAACACCGTACGGCCTCAACAACGAGCAAAACCCATACCGCATATATAGTTAGCTATAAAAAACCACAGAATGACAAATCAATACCATTCAAAAGAGAAAACAGACGGCCTAATTTATGTACAAAACAATAAACGAAAAACAGATATGCCAACAAACGACAACCACTGAATTACAGGCTTCTGACTTGGGACACATACAGAATGTGGCGGAGTTAAACATGTTTGCTTGCGCTTACCCTCCTGGATATTTATTTATTTTCATGTCAACAGTCATTATTTCATGTTCATTTTTTGATTTCCCAAAATATTCCTTACGTGAGTTTCTTGTCAAAAGGCACAATTTCTGTCCCAATCCAACATAGAATCTGAAAGATATAGTGAGTCTGTCGCCCTTCGTCCCGGTCGGGTCAATTTGCAGAACCTATATTTTGGATTTATTCTTCCTTTGTTCTTGTTTTAAATATGAATATTTGCCTGCAATATTTAATACTGGACAATTAATCAACCAATCCTTTCCTCAATTACATGTATACGCTACCATCTCTCAACATGTCAATTTGTAAAAGCGTAAAATGAGATAGATGAGGAGTACAGACAATCAATCAAAAAAAACTTTCACATAGATAAAACTAAAAGCTCACAACAAAATTAATCCGATTTTACGATAAATATACAACATTGAACATTAATTTTCAAATCATACCAAGTAACCGTTTATTGTTGTTTTACCTATCTGATTTTACAGCTATGACAGTTTTCGCAGACACATGCTACAAGACTTCCGGGTCGTATGTCTATTCTACCTACTGTAGTGGCTACTGCTCTGGTACCTACGGTCACGATGCCTGTGTATACTACTATACATACTACTACTACTATAATGATGCTGTCAGTGTTGTGTAAGTCATTGTATTAAGTCATATATTTTGAGATGGGTCGTGACGACCGTTGGAATGTTTTGCTGCCTAGATACATCTTTTAGGTTATTTCGAATAGACAGAAAAAATATTACAGTCAGTCTTATAGTTTAATTCTAAATTCCATTTTTAAGGTGTAGATCATTAAAAATACGTTGATAAAGTCACGGTCACATGACAAACTTATGTCTATGAGCTGATAGACAAAAAACTTTCAGCCAATCAGAAGACGTGTTACATCCAAAACTAAATTATTTATGTATAGTCATTTATTTTTCATTATGTTCATTGATCTTCAAAACTGCATTGGTCTGTGCTTTATTGAACGGTTTTAAGCAAAACATATATTATACTTTCCTGGACACATTATTCTGACTTCGAACCGACTTGGTCAGAGTTTTACAATTTAAGATAGGTTGTAAGATTTCATGAAATGCAGGCTAGATACAACAGAAATAAACCATTCAGACGCTCTTGGTCCAGTGATATGTACTAGTTTTTTTTCTCATCCTGACCCAAATCCCTCTACACTGACTAATATTAGCCTTTTGTGTCCGAGTCATATCAAGATATTAATTTATAAGAAAGATTAAAACTTTCCTTCTAAATATTTGTCACGTTGACCTAAATTTTACACTGAATTGACACCCATTTTTTGTAGGAATTCTTTTCCAAAATATTAGTTGACTTACAAAGTTTGAAATTTCCTTCAAAAGCTGGCCACCTTTCAATTCATGATTCACCAAATTTAGTTTAATTTCATCTGAATTCTCTGCCCTCCCAATTACATGTTTAACATACATTCATCTTAACTAGGATGAGTTATTTCGAAAAACTTCAAATGACATTACTAGATTTATAAAGGTGTCGTCACGAAATCGAAGCCAATTCAATGTTTTTCTCAGGTTGATTAAAATTGACTTTGGAAACAAAAGTTGTCTCAATGGCAATCATACCAAATCTCCTTATGTTTAAAAATTGAAAAAAAATAAATCTAAAAACATCACCATCTTCTTTACAAATGGATTATACGACATTTATAAATATTAATGAAATCAATAACATGTTTTACAGAAGTACAGGTGTGATAGCTGGTATAGTGATCGGATGTCTGTTTGCTCTGGGAATTGTAATTGCAATAATTGTTGTCATTTGTAAGTCAGTCGCGAAGTCTTCAGGATCACATGGTCGAATCATACAGCCTACAGCAACATCCGGTACAACTGTAGCCTATACTAACGCATCTCAAATCGGTTTGTTATTCTAAAATCATACTTTATTTGTGAAAAAAATGCATTAACAGATACTAGTAGGGCTTTATAGCCAGTTCATGACTTAGTGCTTGTGATCGCTTGCTTGTCACTTTGGAAGACATCCACCATAATTTTAAAATTACTGATGCAATACCTTGTTGAAAATACACTGCACAGTACATTATTGTAATTTTAATTAAAAATTCTGTCACAATAAAATGTTGCATTAATATAATATTGAAGATACAGAAAGAGGTTCAATCATGCACATTACATACTTGTTCAACCTTCAAATATGTACAGACCTGAAGCTTTTCTCATACGAAACAGTCTGTTTTACCTGGTACTATTTTAAAACTTTTATTGTAGTTTAGATATCGATTCCAGTGTAAAATATTCTACAATCCAATCAATTAGTATTTCTTAAATGTTACATTTATACCAGGAAAAAATATAGAGTTGAACTGATTGTGGTTTCTGTGAATGTAATTCATTTTTTTTTTATTACATGTATCTAATATTATAAAAATGAATCAAAATTAGCCGCGATTTGAATATGTAAGATATCATCTATAATCTTTCTCCGATATTACCAATGATAGCTGCTTGGTTTTTTATGTTATATTGTTTATTGTAATCTTTCAAATTATATTTTTATCAGGACAGCCAACATATTACGATGGAAACACCACACACCTAGAACAGCAACCAAATTACCCTAGTTATTACCAGCCACCGTCAAATGGATACCCGCCAAATACCAGCTACCCGCCAAATACTGGTTACCCACCGTCATCGATCCATACCGCAGCAAAGCCACCACCATATTCAGGCAATAATCTTGGAGGTTTAGCCCCTGTGGATATTCAGAATACGAAAATTTAATAAAAGTCTATGAATAAAGCGACTGTCATTTTGATGCTGAGTTTTTAAGATCGTAAACATAACAGCAGCTGTCACATCGTTTAGGTGACTGGAACATAGTCTAAGGTCAAAAGCGATTCATCTATCTTAAATTCCCCTATTATTTCATATAAAAACATTTTTAATCGAATGAAGATATTTCTTGCCCAAATTAAATGATATTTTTTCTGTTAAATACAGAAATGTGTGCAGATTCTGACTATAATAATGAAATGTTTAATATTTTTAGGGAAATCATTGTTTAATGACAAATATGAATTTCAGCATGAAATAATCATATGACTATATAGGAAAAAATGACACTTAATTTAAACACTTGTATACAATGATGATTTCTCAGTAATGATATGTCATAAAAATATTTCATAATAACCATAAAAAAGACTGTGCATATTTGTGAGATAAACTTTTGTTTCAAATTCGGAACTCAAATAAATTTTTGACAAAGTTTTACAAAAAAATGCATGTGTGTTATTTCATGTGTATTAAATAATACGGGAATTTGGGATAGGTGAAACACTTTTGACCTAAGACTGTGTATCTATGAATTATTTTGACATATTTTCAATAACATTCAATAATGTTTGTGGTCTCCTAGTCTGTTTTCTTTTTAATTCCTGTAAACTAAACTTGTAATATCATTTATCTGACAAAATAAACAATAAACATAGCATTCCTGTAACTATATACACCCATGCAATGCTTCATCATAATCGACAAAATTGGCACGCTCATGTGAGCACTCTGTCTTCCCGAAATGCTCTTTTATTTGATGACTTCTCTGGCGAGAGAATTTCTATCATAGGATTTTTTAACGAAGTCCTGGCCTTCTATTTTAACAGTTAATTGTGTTATAAAGAACTGCATTTACATCAAATGAATATACTTTTTGTATGCAATCAAACACACCGGGTTGTCAATAAGACAGCATTCAAACGATGCCAAAAATTCAAGACAACTATGAAGCCAATATACGGTTGTCATACATACCCTTTACACGAAATTTAGATCAAAAATAATAGGCAGGTTCTGACAAGAAGGTCGCCCTAAAAGGGCTAAAATTTAGACTGCCAATGGAAAAAGAGAATGTAATATAATGGCAGAAAATGAGTCTTACAATAGATAGCACCTACGACCCCTCACAGGGGTGCAGAAAGTGTGGCACTCTCCCTGCACGAGTCTCAAGATTCTCATTTCGTCCGGACGTGGCTGCGTATTTATACATCCAAGGTGCAAGTAATAACAATTGAAAAAATGTTTATCAAAACCAAACAACAAAATTTATTGTAAAGCCATAAAGGTAAACTTAAAAATAGAAAATTATTAAATTGCAACAACTTTTTAATTAACGACTAAACGTAGAATGATTGAAGACACTCTTTTAATATGTGATGATGATGGATGGCTGTTTGACTTCCAGCGGCAAATTAACACGGCCGTCACTCGGCTAACCGAGAGATTGGTCGGTTAATCTATATTGAGTATGCGGCTATATCGGCGGTTGGTCTGTTAATTGGGTTGGCTAAAGTCTGTTAATCAGGTGTTATCGAGAAGGTGAAAATTTATCTCCTGCTTTGTTTTCTGTATATCTGAATGATTTACAAGCATTTTTAGAAGAATTAGATACAAAAGGTTTACAGTCAATAAGTGCAGACCTAGAAAATGAACTAGATGTGTATCTGAAGATTTTCTTATTGTTATATGCTGATGACACTGTTTTATTAGCGGATAGTAACACTGAATTACAAAATATGTTAAACAAATTTGCCATATATTGTAACAAATGGCAACTTAAGGTAAATGTTGATAAAACAAAAGTTCTTGTTTTTGCTAATGGTAGAATTCCACAAAATTTGAATTTCTCTATTAATGATACTGAAATTGAGATTGTTAAAAATTATAAATATTTAGGAATATTTTTTTCAAAAAGTGGTTCATTTTTACAAACTAGAAAATATTTAAGAGACCAAGGAATAAAGGCTATGTATTCTATCTTGAAGAAGAGTAGAATTAATAATTTATCTATTGAATGTCAACTAGATCTCTTTGATAAGGCTGTTGTACCTATTTTGTTATATGGGTCAGAGATTTGGGGTTTTGAAAACTTTGACTTATTAGAGCGGGTGCACCTAAAATTTTGCAAACTCATTTTACATTTAAAGCAATCAACCCCAGACTGTATAGTTTATGCTGAACTAGGCAGATTCCCAATACTTCTTTATGCAAAAGTTCGTATGATAAATTTTTGGGGCAGAATTATAAACGGTAAAGAGTGTAAAACTTCTCATGTTCTTTATAAATTATTACTTATAAATTTAAATAACTATGGTTTTGAAAGTAAATGATTGATTTATATAATAAAATGTTTTAGATAATTGTGGAATGTCTAATATTTGGAATATGCAGTTTGCTGACAAATGGGTATCAAAAAGTGTGGAACAAAAACTTAAAGATCAGTTCACACAATTATGTTTGTCACATATAGATAGCTTACCTAAATGCATATGTTATAGAATTTTTAAGACTAATTTGAAATTTGAGAATTATCTCAACATATTGCCTAATAATTTATTATTTGTATACTGCAAATTTAGATGTGGAAGTCACCGGTTACCAATTGAGACGGGAAGATGGCGAGGCTTGTCACGAAACGACAGACTTTGTCATCTCTGCGATTCAAGTGGTATTGGTGACGAATATCATTACATCATGACTTGTAAATCTTTGGATGTAGAGAGAAAGAAATTTTTATCTGAATATTGCTGTAAAAATCCAAATACATACAAATTTAATGGTTTATTTAATTCAGACAATACTATCATTTTAGAAAAATTATGTAAGCTTATAAAAATAATACAGGTGAAAGTCAGTCCTCCAAGTTAAGTTACGTTTGTTCACACATGTGCATGCTTATATATACATATATGTAATTGTAGATATATATTTTCTCTGTAATTATGCTATGACATGTAGTTTTGTGAGAATAAAGTTCAGAAAATACTTGCAAGTTCAGTATGTTTCATTGTATAACTTTTTAAATATATTTTTTATCATAAAAATTATTCATGTCTGACAAAACAATTCAATGTACTGAATCCAGTGGTGTAATTTTTTTTTCTAGCTTCGATAAACAATCAATAAAATGAAAAGGCGGGTTACTCATCAATAAATTTATACACATTTTACACACACAAAATGTACACAAAATGACAACTTGGCTGAATTTACTTGCATGCAATATTTTGAACATCGAAAAAAGACAGGCATTATGTTTGATAACCATATTAATATCATTGTGTGAAAAATCTACACGAAAATCTGTATTTTGGTGATATTAATCAATTTTTATTAAAAACCTGGTCTGTTAATGGGTCGGATGTATAAAACCCGGTCTGTTATTTGGTCTGTTAAGAGTTATGAATGGCAATGAAAATATAATTTGATTGCTTTATGGGGAGTTATCGGATCAAATGGGTAGGCTCAAGACGAGTGGCTAAAATATACGGAAACAACACATGAACAATGAAACATAAATTTAGACAATGGAAATTGGAAATTGATAAAAATGGTTTCAAAAAGTGTAATATTAAAGTAATATTAATTTCATTCAAGAATGGTCGCATATATATCATGTGAATTCTGTTTCGTTGTTATGAATGACACCAATTTGTCATCTACATTGGTAACCAGTATATACATCATTTTTATAGTTCGTTCTTAGTTGTACTATTATACCACTGTCCCAGGTTAGGGGAGGGTTGGGATCCCGCTAACATGTTTAACCCCGCCACATTATGTATGTATGTGCCTGTCCCAAGTCAGGAGCCTGTAAATCAGTGGTTGTCGTTTGTTTATGTGTTACATATTTGTTTTTCGTTCATTTTTTTTTTAAATATATAAATAAGTCCGTTAGTTTTCTCGTTTGAATTGTTTTACATTGTCATTTCGGGGCCTTTTATAGCTGACTATGCGGTATGGGCTTTGCTCATTGTTGAAGGCCGTACGGTGACCTAAAGTTGTTAATTTCTGTGTCATTTTGGTGTCTTGTGAAGAGTTGTGTCATTGGCAATCATACCACATCTGCTTTTTTATATCAGAGATAAACGTCGTAATGTAACTAAACATCAGTAAGTAAAATATATTGGGATGCTAAAATATAAAGAATAGAGAAAGAATAATGAGAAAAATAAATAAAATGTAGAGAAAAGTGACATAACAATTTAAAGAATACAGAAATAAACAACACCCCCAATCCGGACCCTCATGGTATACACGAGAATCTGGATGGAGACGCAGAATATAGAATAATAGATAAGGACAGTAGAGAGTGATGCATTGCTAAAAAGAGAGAAAAATAACAATTGTTTAAGAATACAGACATGAAACACCCCTTTTTACTATTTAGACCCTCCAAGATGATTGTTAAAACAATTTTGGCATTTATTCCACATCTCCTTATTTTCAAATTAATAGTATAGACAACGATATCTATATAGATGCTTTGCAATTTTTTTACTGTATATCGCTTTATGTTTTTTGAGACTGGAGTCCGATAAACATTGGCCTCCTGTCAACCGCTGAATCTGATAGCTCAGTAAATATTGTAAAGTGCAAACAAAACAAAATTTCAGGGGGAGGGGGTGGTTGAAACAGTAACGGATTGCGATGTACTCAAATTGGTGACAAATGCTAGAATTTTACAAGCGCACAACTGCAGTTCTCCTCTGCACTTATGTAGAAAGGAACTAAACGGAATAAAATGAATTAAAAATTAAGATAATCAAATGTATCTTCATTCGCTTCTTTCCATTTACTAGTACTTCTTTAGAATGTTTTGTAAACAACATATGATTAAGTAATAGAACAAAAGAACCAATTGGATGATGCTGACGAATTAGGGTTTAACGTCCAGTGGCAAATATCATGTCCATATGAGAACGACAACACGTTATATGTACCCGGTGTTGTATAAGACAGACACTTTCAGTCGGATTTTTGAACGTGCTTCTTTGAACAGACACAAAAATCAAGGCTGATTGAAAACGTTAATAATAAATTCATGCATGTTCCAGCGGCCAATCCATATCACGCTATATTGCAGTTACACACCTTTCAATAAAATGCAAAGAAAATAAAAATAAAAATGCTCTTACTACAAGGATATTGTTGCACCGTATTGTCATTTTTTTTTACTCAAGTACATCTCATTCTTAACTTTTTTAATGGGAAATTATAAAGGAAGCAAAACTATTGTCGTGGCTAAATAACTCTTAACTGACACAATTTTAATTGTCCAACCCATTAACAGACTTTATTCCCCTAATAGTCACTAAAACGTGGTATTACTCACGTTATATTACAACTATGAAATATTTACTAATGTCAATTTATTATTTAGAACCAAAGTACTATTTTGTGTTCTTTAAATGATATCTAAAATTGTTTGTTTCGCCTTTTATTAAAACAATTGCTATGCGTATAAGCATAAATACCACATACTTGCGCGACGCCTTTTAGTTTTACTGAAGTTTGCGCAGACTGTGAAATGTTTTTACAAGTGGAAAATGTTCTATGATAGATATCATTTTGTCAGACACTTTTCTTTTTTTTATTTGGTTCTTATAATATGCCAAAAGTCTGTATATTTAACAGAGTTGAACATTTAAATTGTGCGTTTTACTCTTAACAGACGTATAACCGACCCGATTAACAGACCAACCGCCCATATAGCCGCATACTCAATATAGATTAACCGACCAATCTCTCGGTTAGCCGAGTGTCGGCCGTGATTAAATGCATTTTCAGGACAAGAGCGTGTTTATGCAATATGACTATCAAGCCTGCTTTGTACTAAACCGGCACGTTGAGCCGGATGTTTAACGTGCTAGCCCACAAGGTAACAGTCCACAGGAAGACATGTCAACCTACCAGGACACATCATTCTAACTCCGAGCAGACCAGCTGAAGCAGCAAGTACCAATTTTAAAGTCTCTGATCTGACCCGACCGGATTCGAACCCACGACCTCCCGCAATCGAGACGAACATCCTATCCGAGATCGCCGAGGCGGTTCTCTTTTAATAGAAAAAAGCAGACACAATAAGATATCTAAAGACCATCGCATTGCAATATATTGGAAGATGAATAACATTTCTTTTAAATTTGTCAAAAAAAAGAAAATTGAGAGAAGTATTTAAAGTATACGAAAACTAGTCTGTGAGCATGCATTCTTTGATTACCAAGTCCATAATTCTAATGGAGGTAAAGCTGTGTGTTTTCTTTCAGATACAAAATGATTCATTTTGGTTACAACTGTGAGTGCTCAGAAAGTCAAAATCAGAAAATTGTTGAAACCTACCGTAATTATGTTTTTACATTTCAAAACTCTCTTAATCTCGATCAGTGGAATACATAACATTAAAGAATATACAAGGAATACACTGAACTCTATATGATAACGGCATAATAGATTTACATAAACATAAACACAAACATCAAGGAATCATTGTAGCTACTGAAAGTTAGCTCAACGTTCTTCTTAAACAACACAACAGACAAACCCCGTAATATATATTAATACAAGGAGATGCAAGTAGTAAGAACTACCCCGCTACATTCAACGCAAGAAATCTTTAATATGCTAAGAAGAATTATAATGTCATCTTCCTATTACATTTATGGGAGGAAAACTATGTTGAATCCCGCCCTTTTGATAAAAATAAAATTAATATAACAAAAGGGTTTCAAAAAATTAAGTTTGCTGTAATGATTAATCAAACAATAACAATAATGTCATAAAAACGTAAAAACTAACAGACAATAGATACAACTTAGTAAATTGTTAAGGGAGCACTAATCATAATCTACTCAGTACCAAAGTCCGTCAGAATTTCGAAACTCCTAGCGGCAAAACAACTTGTGTGATTTGTACTAAACAAAGTGTTAGTTTAAAAACTAGGACGATTTTTTTTAAAAGAAGGGAAAACAAAAACTTTGCACAATTTTTCATCTATATATTGTGAGCAGACCTCTGACTTCGCCTGGACTGAGGCTTTAACATTATTTGAACTTTTAACCGTAAGTAGTGATTTGTTTTCAAAGTTCAACATCGGACTAACATTTATTTCACGTAAAATGCATCCATACGATACCGAAATATTTTGTATCTTAAAAACCGCAGAATCTTAAAGTTACGATCTGGTCGAGACTTAATTATCTATAAGTCACGAACATTTATATGTAAATGAATAATGCTGACGTACTGGATCAAAATTAAGAAACTTTTGATTTTTTAAGTTCGTTCTTTTATTAACCATCTAAAAATAATTTATTTTCAAAATTCAGCAGCCAGTCTTTTCTTTTTGGATTTGGATTTTTTTTAATTACTAAGACATTGGTTGCTTATGATTTATTGTCATTGTATATGTATTGCCTTTTGTCCAATCCCTTTGTTTAAATGAACGTTTGATATTTGAACAATAAAATATTTTGAATTGAATGACTGAGGAAGACTTTAATATATAAGTTGCAATAACTTGTGTCCAATCCTATATTTGTTTTTATATTGCAACTAGAAACTCTAAAGAGCATGTGTCGCTCACCTAAGGGTACTGTGCATCTTCAACATTTGACACTCTCTATTGTGGACTAGAAAAGAATTCACAACAGAGTTCTCTTTTTTGTTGATTGTGTATAATTGCTGATAACTTTTCTGTGTACAATTTCTCTCTATCTTCTTTAGTTTTAGATACATAGACACTTTAAATAGCAAATAGGATCAGTAAGACAATATCTTAAGAGAAGTCAAATTTTGCCGAAATCTTTTATCAACTCTTTATAAGATTGATTGCCCTTAAATGACGATTTTATTTTACCCTTTTCGTGTTTTTTGCGATAACTAAAACTTAAGATAATAGGCAAACACGTAAAATTTGGTAAAAATTGTCATTAAAGAGCAAGAACTCCAATAAGGAGTCGACGGACGATTCGGTGATGTTG